CAATTATAATATTCGCAGCTTTCTAAACCAGCAGATGTATTGTAAAGTTAACCAAAGCAATAAATAATAAATACTATCCACCAATTTCACTCACAAACTAGAGCAGCAACTGAAATTCTGATTTCCGTTCAAATCATGCAAAGTGAAGTTTAAAATAATCATATTACATTCTTGATCAATTTTTTAAACGAAATTTAGGTTATATTTTGTTTTTCAAAACTTAAACATTTTTGATCTAAATAATTCAGATTTTTATAAGAAATCTTTTAAAAAAAAAATTGTGTGCCAAAAAATTAAAAAACTATGTAATTGATGAATAATAAAATACTATAGATATACGAATAGTTCGTTTTTTTATAAACACTTGTTAGTTACAAAAGAATTGGAAAAACTATGCTGTATTACTATAACTTTAAATCAATTAATTATGGACCAGTTGTGTCTCCATTTCACCCTAGAGGTTGAATTATACAGAATGAACAAAAAGTATGGAATTAAGTGTTTTTTTATTATTTCCCTTCAGAAAATAATAATTAATAAAAATTATAGTGCTATAAAAAATGTGATCGTGTTTGAAGAATGAAATTTTGTTTTCTTTTTGAGCTATGCGATTTTTTTCAAAATCAGTTAAAAAATTTTTTTCAAAAAAAGCAAAAAAAGATTGATTTCTTACTTTCTGTTCACTTGGTATGTATCGTCCACGTATCCAGGTATCGTCGAAAATACCGTTACTTGTCACATGCGACGTATCCTAAATGGTCATTGACAAACTCACTGGTGAGAATAAATCTTATAATACGTGAAATTTAGCATTTGACACTTCTACCAACTTAACAACACTTTAACAATTGTTTATAAAAAACGAACTATTCTAAACTATTGTGTTTACAGTCTTAGAGTTGAAAATTGCCCTAGTAATAGAAGAGTACAGAAATACTGTAACCGAGAAAAAAACTCACACATTTGTTATTAGCAAGAATGTTATTTAACTCCAAAATATTGGTACACGGTTTGAGGGTCACTGGAATTATTTCCTTGTTCAGATAAAATTGTATTGTTGCAACAGATAAAAAAATCGTATCCATGACAATGAAAGAGAAAAGTCACTTCCTAGTTTTGACACTGTCATCATTTGATTTGCTTTTGCTTTAGTTTTTATCAAAATTCGAAGATCTTCTTTCAGCGAATGGTTGGTTTCCAATACGTTTGATTCGTTTTTCTTAATTTTTCTCCAAATTTATGAACACGTATGGCAAAATATTAAAATAATAAATTGGTTGTCGTGATTATGATTTATGGTGAAACACAAGGTAATGATACTAATGGCCATTGTTGCAGCCGAAGAAGCACTTCTCAAAGAAATAGTGTAAAATGAATAATTTCCTTTAACAACGTGAATTTTTGAATATCATCTCATTTAAGTTTCAACCTCAAGACCGCAAACACCCTGTATATCTATAAAAATGTAATCTTTTGAAAAGATTAAAACTTTTGTTTTGAGTTTTAAAATTAACAAAGTTTATTTTTTTTTAATAGAAAAATGCTATGAAAAATATTTCGACACAAAAAAATTAATAAAATGAAATTTATGTCTAAAAATGAAAAAATAGTATAAGGTGACCAACCGTCCTGATTTAGCCAGGACATGTTTAGCTTTTTATTGTCTTGTCCTGTATTCGTTTATGTCTTAATTTGTCCCGATTTAAGAATAAACAAATCTTAGTGTTCAGTTTTTTGATATCTTCATTTGCAGCAAAAACAAAGTGTCTTTCAAGTTAAAAAGTTTTCTTTTTGACGTCATTTCAAATGTGGTTATTGTGAAAAAACTCTAAAAGTAGAAAAACTGAAAGTAGAAGCACTTAAAAATCGCTTATACTGACCAAATGAAATATTAATTTGGCTTATATAGAAAAAAAATATGTTTGCAAAAAATAAAGAGACTTTCAAAGCCATACTGAAAATTTTCCCCCTTTTTAATATAATATTTATAGCACTGTTTTGGTTTAGTACGATACGCAAAACCGTTTCGTACCTACTGGTCTTAGTATGAACGCAAAGTAGAAAAAGTACATAACAAACGAGAGTTACAAAAATTAAAAAACTATGCAGTGCCTCCGCTGCCGGCAACGGCGTCCGTACCAGCTGCTGACAGCGGTGTTCGTATCAGCTGCCGGCAATTTTTTTTTTAGGTTTTTCTGCTAATATCACTTTTTTGTTAATTTCACTAGCTATATGTTTGAAGTTTAAAATAGTTTTTTTTAAACAATACCAATAATTTGCGACTAAAACCCTGTATATTTCAGAATTTAGGTATAGTTTCTACTAGTAGGTACAACTAGTATAAACATTACAGAATGTAAATTAAATTATTTTTGCTTTTTCTGATCGTTGCTATCATCTTTTAAAATTTCGACCTATGAAACTGTGTGTGTATGTATCTATAAAAAAAAATTAATATTTTATTTTTTGACATTTGACCTTTTCATGTCCATTTAATGTTACCGTTACCAATGATCTTGTATATGTTTTCTCATAATTATTCAGTAAAGGTACAAAAACTTTGCCAATAAAAGCTTCCAATAAATGTTAAACATAGTTACAATTCAGGATACAGTTTCTTTGTTTCCTCTTCTAATACCCTGCATCAAAAAACATAAAATGATTTTTCTAATAATAAATAGGCTGAAAGTGTAAAATTTAAACCCGCATAATTTGTATAGATAGAATTTTTTTAACATTTTTTCTATGTTCATGGTATCTTTATCTTATTGGCATTTTTTTTGAGTCGCGAGTTCTGAAATATCCTGTATAATATCAGTGGCTGAGTCGCTGAGTAGAAGAGTCGCAAAAGAACATTTTAACACTGCTAAGCAACATTTCTTCCATTTCTTCTAAACCCTAAATTCATTACGGAGTTGTATAATTCACTTTTACACCGATTCTTAGGTTTAATGAAATAAGAAATCATTAAAATTTATTACAGAGAGTGGATATGAAAATGTTGTCAACATATTACTTACCAGCTATTAATTTTTGATGAAAACGCAAGAAAGGTGTTTATAAATAAATTAATCGGTTGGACAGATAGCTGACAAATATTGAAGTTAATATTCATGAAATTTTCAGAACATCCTTGACCAGAGTTAATCTGAGCTGACCTAGAGTTACAGTAATAAAAAATAATTTAAAATTTATCTGTAACTTTATTTGACAATAAAAAAATCAACAACCGACATCATCAACATAAAGAAAATTGTCAAAACATTGACTTTGACAGTTTGAAATATCAAACTTTGACGTGTTTGGCAATGATATTTAATTGGCAACTATTTTCCCTATTTTGTTAATATGTGCCACTTCGCACACATTCGACTACAAATAAATAGATGATATGAAAATTGGCAAGTTTTAGATCTTCTCTCTCTATGTTGTTCAACGTTGCCAATTTAATTCCGGAGTCGCAGCTCACTTTGATAGGAAATTATAAAACTGCAACTACAGGGTGACCCAGCGGTTCGTGCACGCTCTATAACTTTTTTTCTATCCAAGTTATCGACATGTCGATGTAGGGTTTATGGGGTTTTGTAAAATTTGTACGATTTTTGCAAAATAAGAAATGTTGATGGTTTTTTTTCTAAAAAAAAAGGAATCGAGTAGGTTGCTGTCGTAAAATTTGACACTTTCGTGTACTTTTAATAATTGTACACATCTAATTGTCAATAATGAATTTCACTCGTGAAGAATTAGTGAATATGGTTTACTGTATTGGTGAAGAGCACAGAAATCCTTTATTAGCAAGCAAAATGTACCGTCAGAAATATCCTATCCTAATCGTTCGATAGGCAGAGGAGGTACTATTCCCAGGCCCGCACAATCTCCATACCTTACTCCCATCGATTTTTTTCTTTGGAGGTACGTGAAAGAAAGAGTTTCCAGAGATCGTCCAACAACTGCAGATGATATGAAAAACAGGAAGCCTTCCATTCAGTTGATGGAGCAATGCTTGCTAGAGTTCGGAGCTCATTTACTAAAAGACTTGGTGGAACATGGCCTATTTGAGCAGTTTTTATAAGTAACCTTTTCTCAAAATGTTTACATTGTTTTTTTTTAATCATTCTTTCCTATTTTTGTAAAGATTACTAAGATTGTTTCCTTTATTGTGATGTACTCCTGTTTCTATTACAATTTCATTTTATTGAAACACATTMTTTTCAGAATTGCATAGATGTGTCAAACGATAACGGCCTACTCGATTTTTTTTTCAGAATAAAACCATCAACATTACTTATTTTGCAAAAATCTCATAAGTTTTACAAAGTAGACCCCATGAATCCTATATCGACAAAGAGCTAATAAAAAATGCCATGCAATGATGGAATAAAATATAGAGTGTTGTATTTAAAAAAGTCGAGTTATTGCCATTTGTATTTTGTCATTTTCAATGGAACATCGACTCCGAGTTTGTCTTTATCTCAGAAGACGCGCTAAAGCTTAAGGAATCAACAGGAAAAAAGTTGGTTAAATTATCTTGAATAGTTTTGACGTTATGAATTTTTTTGTGGGTCGATGCACGATGTAATTTTGACACATAAATTGGCATAAGTCAAGTTTGTCTTTATCTCAGAAGACGCGCTAAAGCTTAAGGAATCAACAGGAAAAAAGTTGGTTAAATTATCTTGAATAGTTTTGACGTTATGAATTTTTTTGTGGGTCGATGCTCGATGTAATTTTGACACATAAATTGGCATAAGTCAAAAACTATTGCAGGTAAGTCTAAGAAACCAAGATGCGTTATATTGACAATTTAGTGGCGAATCCAGAAATGTAATAAAAAATATTTTTATAATGTGCCTCATTGTTGTAGCTATTCTTAAAAAAAAAATCATGTCGATAACTTCGATAGAAAAAAAGTTGTTGAGCATGCACGCACTCCTGGGTCACCCTATATAAATTTTTTAAATTGTTTAATACTAATGAGTGTCATTTGCTTTATTTTTCAGACGGAGTATCGCCTGTGCTCGGCATGTGGCGAACCGATTAGCGACAAGTTCCTTTTGGAAGTTTCCGGGCGTAGTTGGCACGCGAGATGTCTCCGGTGTTGCGTCTGCCAACTGCAATTGGACCGTCAACCCTCCTGTTTCATCCGGGACCGAGCAATTTATTGTAAAGCAGACTATGCAAAGTAAGTCTTTCGATCGATTTTCAAACTGGTCAAAAAACGCTTAATTAAAACCACCAAACGCCTACCGAAAATTGTAAAATGTTAATGAAACAATTACCGAATACCGAAATGAAGGCAGCGACATGCTTTACGATACACTGGTGTTCGAAAACATGAATTTAAAACATTCCAAATTGAAGTTCAGTGTAAGTCGCGCGAGGAGTCTACGGGACATGGCCGTTCGCGTGTCTTTTTGAGCGCGGCTCGAATAAAAATCACTAAATTAGGGAGAATTAGGACTCTCATTAAAAGATACACACTGAGATTGCTCCCGAAAACGCGTGGGATGGAGCCGAGCGATGAATATTCAAGAGGTGATAACACGCCTAGAACGTGTATCAAATATTGCTTTTTCGTCGTTTATTTTCAAACTTTCCAATCGATTTTTTTTCATGAAGATGATTGATGTCCGATGGAATTAGGTAAAACGTAACGGTAGATGTGATTAGGAACAATATGATATCAATATCAGTGAATGGATCTCTCTTTTTGGTATTTTATGTTCGGAAGATCGATATTGCAGAAGACGATGACTTGAGCATTCTTCAATAGTATGGACCTCCACGAAGAAATACTTTATTGTCTTAGTACTTTTTCTTTCCTTTAAATTGTTTCCCACAAGTTAAAAAGAGCATAAAATAAATTATGTAACTAAGAATGTTTAAACATTTGCCGGTTCAGAGACTCAATAATTGCCGCTTAGTTAAACACAACAAAATAAACTATTTTTTTTATTATACAACTGAATAATAAAGTAAATATGTCGTACAAAGATAAAAGCTACAATTTATTGTCTCAAATTCATTTGAATTTGAAAATATCTAATAAGTTATCTAAGTTATGACTACCTAAAAATAAAACAGTTTTGGGAGGCAGTTATGTTAATAGAAGAAAATTAAAAATTATATCATTTCCTTAAAATACTGATCGTTACTTATACTTTTAATGGGATCACTGATGTTTTAAAATTTAAATGAAAAAGCCAACGATCTATAGTTTGTTATGCTTGCTTTCAACCATTATGTCTATCGTCGTAATTAGATTCATTAACACAAATTTTAATGTTGTATACACTAGAACTCGTTAGACAAAATGACTATTCTTTTGGGAAAAGTGAACTATTGTTCTGGAATATTAGCACAGATGTGTAAAATCTCCAAATTTCATAAAGATTTTAGAAATTCTAGAAATTCGTCATTGTAAAAACAAGTTTTTAACAGATCGCTTTTCTTCATTCGATTATCAACTCTATTATTCATATCAAAAATTGCAATTCTCTTAATTTTTTATCTTCTTTATTAAAATTTAATTCTAGAAAAAAATACCAAGGACTATAATTCTACGTTGTTTTGCTGCTTTTTTTTTATAGAATTTTAGGGCCTAAAGTTTTTAACATTTTTATATAAACTTATATAAAATTATATAAAATTTGAACCAACTGGTTCAAATGTGTTGGGCCAACTTACGAATGGTGATAGAAGACTTTCAGCTATAAGCCTAAAAATGTAAAATGTGTAAAAATTCAAATTCAAGATTACATGATCTGAACGGCCAAAAATTTAACCTAAAATATAACTTTTGAAGAGCTCAGAAAAGACTCAGCCAATTTTTTTGTCATGAGAACTTTTAACTTATTTGGATGTCTTTAGTCCTTTATCACCATCCATGAGAGGTCCGAGACTTTTGATTCAGCCTGTATACAGGGTGATTCTTAAATAGACCTACAAAGTTTTATCACATCTTCCTCAGGATAAATGGAGATATACCTTTTAGGGGCAAAACCCCCTTGATCCGTGCCACTTACGGCGTTTATGAATTGTTGCAATAGTCAAGTACGTTAATACCATGGTTACCACTACCTGTGCTAACACATCAGTGGCGTACGCTTTACTTGGAAAATAAATTTAATAAATTTTATTTGAAGAACGTTTAAACAAAGAATTTTTCAAATATTTTTTCCAGCATGTTCTCATTTGATACTACCAAGGATAAAATTTTGTCAGTCTATTTAAGAATCTATTTAAGAATGTATAGGGCTAATAATTTTTCTGACTTGTATTTTAGATTCCTGCATATTTTTTTACTATAAGCTAACTATGTATGTATGTACAGTCGTGTGCAATATATTTTGGTCGACAGAACTTGTTGTGGTATAATTTAAAATTGGTTGCATAATGTCTGCAATAAAATAAAGCCAATCGACGTTTAAACTATAGCTTTTTGAGACAGAAAAATCACAAAGCGTAAATTGTAAAATTTCTGTCATTAGAAGAATAATTTTTTAGTGACATTGACGACTGTGTGTAAACTATGTAAAAACAAATCATTTTTGCACTTCATTCAAAAATAATAATTGTCTTTCAATACAAATTTTATGAAATTAGAAGATTTTTTCTAACTCTTGTAACAAAAAGAAAATTACCTAATTTTTCGATCACCTGTAGGATTCTTAAGATTTCTCAAATCATTGACTAATCTTTAGTGGATGCAGAAAATCATTCATGTTTTCTTTTAAAATTAATTAAATAAACTGCCTCTCGTTCACGTTTCCGACCATTTTTCGTAGCAGTCGCCTAATTGATCTTCGTATCGTGATTTATTGATATAAAAATTCATTCAACGGCCGCGAAGATAATAACGTCGTATTATTATATTATCATGGGAATGCTGGGAACCTGAGCTGGAAGTTTGGCCATCGAGTATAATAATGCGCGAGATGAGTTGGTCAGATGTCACTATGACGGATGACAAATGAAAACGCAAGAAGTGCGAGTCACTCAGATACAATATGCTCACGGTTTATTGTTCGTGTGTGTGGTAGATTCTTCAAGTTGTTGGGATATTTCCCCCTTATCCGTCTATCTTATAAACACACACACACAGCTTATTCAAGATTTATGATTATTTTAATTATGCGCTCACTATGGATGATAAATTCTATTTAAATTTATTATTACCTGCACTCGCTGCTAAGTAATCATTTATACAGACTATTACTCTAATACAATCAAAGATATTCATCTTCATCGATGCGAAATATCAAATAACACTTATGGAAACCCCCGCTTGAAAGCAGAGTGCCTTTTAATAGTGTATTTTATGTTTTTAATGTTGGTGACAATGCCGTTAGAAGTAAATTACTTTCAATATTTTTACCAATTTTTCGAACTTCCGGTGTCGTAATTGAAAACATCTTGAGAATTTATTTCAATAAATGTCAGTTTGAGTTGAATTTTCCTACGCCTTTATGAATATTTCCCACATTATTATTTTTCTCTTTACAAAACTCTATAAAAAGTATAAATATAGAAAAAATTGCAGTTATATCTAAGGGCTTTTCCTATTATTTTAAGACCTATACAGGGCGCCAAAACTCGCATCCTAGAGAAAAATATCAAGTATAGGATGGAAAAAATATTTTAAAAATTCTATCAAAAAAAATATTATGTCTATTTGATGATCTTGTATACAGGGTGCGCCAGAACTCGCGCCCCAGTGAAAAATGCCATATGCCATAAGGTAGGGTACCAGGAACATGGAAAAAATGTTAAAAAAATTTTATCTATAAAAATTTCGAAGTTATGAGGGTTTAAAGTTTGCACTTTGACTCCATGTATGTTTTTTTTCCAATTATTTAGTAAAGGTACAAAAATTTTGGCATTAAAAGCCACAAATAACATTAAACAGAGTTTGTTACAATTTAGCATACAGCTTCTTTGTTTCCTCTTCTAATAACCTGTAGCAAAAAAAAAACTTGGAAAATTAATTTTCCAACAGAAATGAATAGTCAAAGTCTCGTAACTTCGAAATTTTTATAAATAGAATTTTTTTAACATATTTTCCATGTTCCTGGTATCTTACCTTACATTATTCTCTGGGTCGCAAGATTTGGTGCACAGTATATATTTTTTCCGTATTTTTATTTCGCATTCTAAATGCTATAAAACCATCTTTTGTTTTTAGATTTCGTTTTACTGGTTGCCAAGTTATGGACATTTTTTTGCAAAATTTTGAAAATACTTGTTTTGACTTAAATTCTTTTAGAAACTTTATTAGGTATTAAAAAAATAAAATTAAAATTTTGCACGTTGGTAAGAAAGGCTTTACTTCATCGTTTATTGTAATTTTTGATTTTGTCATTCAGGGGGCGAACAAAAAGTGCAATTTTCAAACAATCACTTAACATTGTTTTTATTTCAAGTCTAAACCCCCTATATTTTTTTATCATATTCCGTATTCTGCTATTAATTTTAATTAAATCTCACAAGTAAAAAAAATTCAAGAATAGTAGAAGGACGTGAAAATAGCTGAAAAGTATTTAATTATTTTTCATTTTCAGAGTTGCATGATAAATTTGTACATTTAATTTTTGCCAAAAATAATAAAATAATTGTCAAGTCACTTGTCTAATATAATATCTGTATGAAAATGGTGATGGTTACATTGAGCAAATTTGTTAATTCACTATATTTTTTGTTAGAATTTTGTTCATAAAATATCACTATTTATATCATTTTATAACTATTATTTCTTTCTCTTCAGTTCATTATCCTTAAAAAAAATCAGTAAGCGTCAATGTAAAAATTATCTTTTAAACATTTCAAAGGACAAATTGTAGATTTACAAAATGCAACTTAAAAGAAGGAGAATTATTAGTAAAATATTAAGAGAAATTGAAAAAATATTGGGTGTTAAATTAAAAAAACTAAATCATGATTCTTGAAAGTTGCATAATTTAATTTGAATACGATCCTGGAATAATGGAACTCTTTGTACCAGGAGAACAGAAAAGTATGAAACCAAAAGTTTTTTGCTTGCTTGTGTAATGGTATAATGGTTTTTCAAGAATAAAATTTTTGTTTTTTTTTGAGTTCTGCAAAATTGTTTATTTTTTCAAATGGCAAACTCACTATAAAACTTTTTAGGTTTACATACGCTATGATCTAAGGACAACAAAAATATCTAGATTTTATTCATTTTTTAAAGAAAAAAATTTTCATACAAGTAAAAAAATCGCATAACTCGAAGAAGACAAAACAAAATTTCATTTTCGAAGAACACGATTACCTACATTTTTTATTTTTATTAATGTTATGATTATTTTTTGAAGGCAAATGATTTAAAGAATTACGCTTGTTTATATACTTTTGTGTTCACCTGTATACACATTTCAAAACAATTTAAGTCGTTGAAGATTTGACTATTGTTAATAAGACAAAATGTGATTATTTAAAATAATTTTTCATTTTTTTTTTAGAAGTTTTGGTGCGAAATGCTCTGTGTGCTCCCGGGGCATCTCCTCCAGCGACTGGGTGCGCAAAGCCCGTGACCACGTGTACCACTTGGCCTGTTTCGCGTGTGCCGCCTGCCACCGGCAGCTCTCCACCGGCGAAGAATTCGCCCTCCACGAAGACCGCGTCTTGTGCAAAGCACACTACTTGGAAACCCTGGATGGCGGCACCACCTCCTCCGACGGTAACCTCCCAGCCAGTCTCCCCCCTTCATATAAAACTCAGACTTTACAGATGGCTGCGACGCCGAAGGCTACCACAAGAACAAGGCGAAAAGGGTGCGCACCACCTTCACCGAGGAGCAACTCCAAGTGCTCCAAGCCAACTTCCAGCTGGACTCGAACCCCGACGGCCAGGACTTGGAACGCATTGCCCAAATCACGGGACTGAGCAAACGAGTGACGCAAGTGTGGTTCCAGAACTCGAGGGCGAGGCAAAAGAAACACATGCACACAGGGAAGATTAAGACACAGAGTAGGTTTTCTTCCGAGGTTTTTTTGAATTGTTAAAATGAGAATTTTTGTAGTGCACAATGCCAGAGAGGATAATGGGTTTGGACGGCACATAAATCTACATCTGACGTACTCTTTCCAGCAACAGAATAACTCGAAAACGTCACTGTTTGGACAACCTGGTGAATATTTTTTTATTTCTTGAATTTTTTTATATGGGTTTTGTTGCAGAATCAGCTTTAGATGATCTCTCACAAGAATCTACGATGCACTGCATGCAGGGTGAAGTGTAAACAGCTTTATTAGTTGGAAATACTTGTATTGGAAACCTCCCAATATATTACGTGATTTTTTTAAATGTACTATATTTAGTTTTTATTTTATTGTTAATTAGTCTTACTTATTTATTTCGTTATCACTGTATAAAAACGATGGCTAAAATTTGCTATAAGAATTAGCAGTATATGTTACTGAAAGTTATTTACTTGTTGTAAGTGTAAAATAAGTTTAATAAAATAAATAAAAAATTAATTTATCTTTATTTCCTGAAACTTGTTTTAATTGATTCTTCTTTGAAGTCTTTAACATAAAAATGAAAAGTAATTTATTTATTAAATAACTTTGTTCGTATGTAATATCTGTTTTGAGATGCCGAGTCCAGTCAAAAAGATTCAAATTTTTTATTTGTATTGTTTATCAATTCTTTCTTATAAAATAATTGCTTATCAGCAAAATGTTATAATTATAAATACACACAAAATATTTGTAAAATTTTGGTAGATTTAATAAAAGTCATTTTTTCATTCTTAGCAAGAGATTAGATCGTACAGTGATGGACAGTGAATTTCGTCCACCCAATTTCCCTGACAGATTAAAAGTGTAAATTAGTCTTTAGGTTTTCTTAACCTTTTTTCAGAATTTTGATTAACGTTTGTCATATTGACAGAATGTTCGATGCTTCTTGCTAGTTTTTACCTTTGTCCTTTGAAATGGTAGTCCTTGGTATGCCCAAAAGTATAGAGACACATCTTTAAGACATACCTTCTTGTACCAGAGAGATAATTTTTATTTTATTAAACGCACTTACTGCTGGCATGTTCGAATTTGATTGAATTTGACAATACGTATTTGAATGTCAGTTATCATGACAATAAAGCACAGACTACAGTGAATTTTTTTGAATTCACAGAAATTGGGTGGACGAAATTCACCGTCCATCACTGTATATCATGTAAACTGCAACTTTGAACAGACATTAAAACACAACTTTTAGAAAAAAATTATAAAATAATTATGTAATAACATGAAATCATTGGCTATAAATAATAAGTAAACTTTAATATTTTTGTTTTTAAATATTTTTGTTTTGATTAAATAATAAAATTGCTTTTGTTATAGACAACCAACAATACACCTACAATATCACATGACAAACCTAAATTAATTAATTGTGTTTATCTAACTATAGTAGCTCTAACTCACCATGGAATGTGTGTTTTAATGAAACTATTATATTATTTAAACAAGTAGAAATTAATAGTTTATAATTTTTTCTGCTGCATTTTTCGGCGATTGGTTATCCTGTATCAGCATTCAGCAGATGACAGATGACATTTTGTCAGACGTCATTTCCGTTCCCAATTTTTAGTTTTATATTTCAGAGGTTTAAAATTCGGTTTTAGAATGTGTTTGAGTTAAAAGCGACTTACCTCACCGCTTATCAAGTTAGGTAGGGATAAAAAGCGACGAATCAAAAGGTTTTACTCGAATAGTTTTGAGTGTGCGGGAGGTAAAGAAGAGGTTATTGTAAACCGAAATTCTGTGAATTCAAACTTGTAGACGTGGTGTGTTTTCTTCGAAGCTTAAGTAAGTATTATAATTATTTTATCTAAATTACGTCAATTCTCTGAATTATAATATGAACAATTCATTTAAAAAACGCAGCAGGGGACTTCAAGTCATAATTTTATCAATTACAGAAGACAATGGTTGTTAAAAAGATTTGTTGTGTGGGGGCTGGTTACGTCGGTGGCCCTACTTGTAGTGTGATAGCCCTCAAATGTCCAGAAATTCAAGTAACAGTGGTTGATTTATCGAAATCTCGAATAGCCCAATGGAATTCAGACAAACTTCCAATTTACGAGGTAAAAATTCAAGTAATGATGTAAATATGATCTCACGCGATATTTATTTACAGCCGGGTTTAGACGAAATCGTAAAACAATGTAGAGGAAAAAATTTATTTTTTTCAACGGACATTGAAACCGCTATTTTAGAAGCTGATTTAATATTTATTTCAGTGAATACACCGACAAAGACTATTGGAAATGGGAAGGTAAGCATCGCCTTGACCACATTTTATTCTTCTGTATTCATCAATGGTTTTGAGGTGATGAAATTATTTTTTTAAGTAAGGTGTTTTGCAATATCTGATTTCTTATTGTCTGATAACAATAAAACGGTTTTGTATTTGCGTGAGTAATACGTAAAGTTCGAGCAATAACACCTATTTTATTCCTCTGATTTTTATGCACGTGATAAGTTTTAAATTACCTAATCCTTTTATTACTGCCTAGATAATGTTTAATTTTTCTACAATTTCACTTAATCTTTTTCCAAAATGCAATAATAAATCAATCATTTTACACTTGAGTTATTTACAACACGAATTTTTAATTCACATTTTTTAGGGCAGAGCCCCCGACTTGAAATATGTAGAAGGCGCCGCTCGAATGATAGCCGATATAGCACAAAGCGATAAAATCGTTGTTGAGAAAAGCACAGTTCCGGTCAGAGCCGCCGAAAGCATTTTAAAAATTTTAAGTGCCAACCAAAAACCCGGAGTTTCTTATCAAATCCTGTCAAATCCGGAATTTCTAGCCGAAGGCACTGCAATTAACGACTTAATCAACGCCGATCGTGTTTTAATCGGTGGTGAAGAAAGTCCCAAAGGAAAAACGGCAATCGAGGAGTTGTGCGGGATTTACGAACACTGGATTCCGAGAGAAAAGATTTTTACGACGAATACTTGGTCATCGGAATTGTCCAAACTTGTAATTTTTTTTTCAAAGTCAGTTTACAATGAAAAAAATATTTTTTTTGTGCAGGCTGCGAATGCGATGTTGGCACAAAGAATCTCAAGCATAAATTCACTGTCGGCCGTTTGCGAAGCCACCGGCGCTGATGTTTCCGAGGTTGCGACAGCGGTTGGATTGGATTCGAGGATTGGGTCGAAATTCTTGCAAGCCTCAATAGGTATATGTCACTTTTGATCAAATCTGGTGCTCTATTTTTGCAAAAAAATGTGCCTTTTTTAGAACACTTTGTAATAATAAGATTATACGGAGTGGATTTTTTCTATAAAGCGACAAAATAGATTTAAAACTGTTGCAAAAATGCTTGTTTTCAAGTTCATTATTTTTAAAATATAATTTAGGCTTATTTACAAGTAAAAGCACAAATTTATTTTTTTTGTAAAAAGGGAACACTGTACAGGATGTTTCGTTTTTATTGTTACAAATTGAAACAGGTATAGATAGAATATTAATTTTAAGCCAAAAATTTTCTAGGAAGATGAGTCGAAAATTACTATACCGGGTGAATGACGTTTTGTTTCACTTTTATGGAACCAAGCGTTTTTTGCTTAAACTAATTACTTCACGAAAAAGATAATTAGTGCAGTGTAAAGTACTATAAAAATGTAATCGTTCTTCAAGAATAACTCTTTCGACATTCCTTTTATTTTTCGTGCTTAGCAAAGGAATTTTTTTTAATGGCAACCTACTACAATTTTTTTAATTAAAGACTGAGCTAAAAATATCTTCTAATTAATTAAAATTGTCGTCGAGTAGTTTTTTTTTCTTAAAATTGCTTTCCGAGCTCATCAAGAAGATTTTCCGAACTTAACCGATATACATTTGGACGTAGGAGACCACGGTTTTTTGTGCTATTTAGGAGTGTAGGATAAAAAAATTCAATAACAACTCACTTTCTTTTTAATCCGTCCCAAACCACCCCTAAGTACCTGCATAAAAAACAGACCTGCGTTGTCACCAAATGCTTGAAACGACCACTTCTTTTATGTTCGGAAAATCGTCGTGATGAAACTTCAACAATTTATTTAAAAAAATACTGGTTAAAAAACAATGTTATTTCATTAGAGGTCATTTTTAGATCATAATCTTTAATTAAAAAAATTGTCATAGTAGATTGCCATTAAAAGAAATTTCGAAAAAATTTATTCTTGAAAAACGATCACATTTTTATAGCACTTTAAACAGCACTAATTTTTTTTGTGAAGTAATTAGTTTATGCAAATAATGTTTGGTTCCATATTTTTTATTCACCCGGTATAAAGGAGAAGAGTTTTCAATGGATTTTTCCTAATATTTCAGAAATCCATTGTACATGGATAAAATTACAAAATGTATTGTATTGTTGTACATACAGGCTGCGCCAGAACTCGCGCTCCATAGAAAAAATGCCATATAAGGTAAGATACCAGAAACATGGAAAAAATGTTAAAAAAATTCTACCTAGAAAAATTTCGAAGTTATGAGAATTTAAATTTTGCACTTTGACTCTATTTATTTCGGTTGGAAAAATAATTTTCCAAGTTTTTTGCTATATGCTATTAGAAAAGGAAACAAAGGACCTGAATCTTAAATTGTAACTCTGTTTAATGTTACTTGTGGCTTCTATTAGCAAAATTGTTGTACCTTTATTAATTAATTATAAAAAAACATATACAAGATCTTCAGTATCATTAAATAAACATAAAAAAATGTCAAATGTCAAAAAATAAATGTCAAAATTTTTTAAAAGATAGAATTTCTTAAACATTTTTTCCATGTTTCTGGTATCTTAAATTTTACTCTGGGGCGCGAGTTCTGGCGCACCCTAAAAGAATAAAAAAAAAGAAGTAACCTGAAGGGGTATATTATAGGACAAAAAAATAATCTTAAATTTTAATTCTGTTTACCTCTTTTTTGAGAACTTACTGAACTTATGATTTTGCTGCTGAAAGTGGCAAAAACTACAGCCAACATAGTTTACTCTATTCCCTCCTAGAATGCCCTTGATTAAAAAAAAAATCGATATTTGATCTTTGAATTTGTTTAGGTGTAAAGGTTTTCAACTACCAAATTTTGTAATTTTATCTAAAATGGTTTCGGAAATATTGAGAAAAATCCTCAATTGAATATTTCAATTTGTAACAATGAAAACGGAACATCCTGTATACGTAATTAACTCGATATATTGACGTAACCTTTTAATTATTGGTTTTGGCGGGAGCTGTTTCCAAAAAGACATCCTCAATCTGGTCTACATCTGTGAATGTTTGAATTTACCGGAAGTCGCGGCCTACTGGCAACAAGTCGTCGATATGAATGAGTACCAGAAATCCCGTTTCACGGCTAAAGTGATCCAATCACTGTTTAACACAGTCAGTGGCAAAACTGTCACGATTTTGGGTTTCGCATTTAAGAAAAACACCGGAGACACGAGGGAAACCCCGGCGATACACGTGGCCAAAACTCTACTCGACGAAGGCGCTACTTTGAAAATCTACGACCCGAAAGTGGAAGAAGATCAGATTTACTACGATTTGACTCATCCGTCGGTTTGCGAATCACCGGAAATGGTCAAGAAGGCCGTTTCCGTGTATCAAGATGCGTATTTGGCGTGTGAGAATTCCCACGCGATTGTTTTGTGTACAGAGTGGGATGAGTTTAAGGTATTTTTTTTTCTTCTCGTGGCTTGTGTTTCATTATTTGTTTTGTTTCAGACGCTTGATTATCACAAGATTTACCACGTGATGATGAAACCGGCGTATATGTTTGATGGGCGGAAAATTCTGGATCATCAAGCTTTGATCGATATTGGGTTTCACGTACAAACTATAGGAAAGACGTTGCAAAGACCGCTTTTGACGAGATTGTGCGGTGTAAATTCCTGCATGCATTAGGGTTTTTTCTGTTTAGATTGGATCAGTCTTGCCAATAGTTGCACAATTAAGATAAAAAGATTACAAGACTGATTGAACGGTCATTTCACTCGTTTTTATTTATTCGAACAATTTTGGTATTCCGGTACAAGTGCTGCAATATTTTATTTTCATTACTTCATTTCAGTATTAGGAAATACAATTTTGATCATTTTTATCCTCGTAATGAACAAGTTATGAGTATTTAGTTTTGACAACACTTTAAGTGCAGTTAATTTTTTAACCGATTAGTTTTATTATAAATATTTTACTATAGTTGTTATTTTTAGAAATATGTTTTATACGTTTACAAATATTTTATACTCCATACAGTTATACAAACTAGGGAATTTCAAATAGTTCTGAGGCAAAGTGACATTAAATGTTCCTCTTTAGTGTGTTATTCTAGAGTAATAGAAAATACTACATATGAGTATACTCGTACAACGTGATACGATTAAATTTGAAATAGTTCTCTCATGGTGTAATTTTAAATAATTTCACTTATATTTGAATAAGACAATTATTACTCTAAATACTATGTAAAGTGCAATTGATACAATAAATTATTACGTACTTATTGACTTTTTATAAAAAACGCAATTCGAAAGCAATTGTTTGGGGTTCAATCTGGATCATGTTTTTTTGTTTTTCAAACTAAATAACAAATGGATACGATTTTGTTGGTCCATGAAAATGAAGTGAAAGAAGACGGATTAAAAAGCAAAAATCTCTAAGTACACGTTTTTATTTTAAATTGAAATAAGATATCCTAATTAAACATAAAAAAATACAAATTAACTCACAAAAGTAACAAAAAATTAAGTCATTTTTTAATACTTTTTATTGTTACAAATTTAAACAGGAGATAGAATATTCGTTTTTAAAACAAAAATTTTCTATGAACATATATTAAAAAATGCTCCGCAAGGGGTGCGTCTTTTAATAGTTTTTTTTTCCATATTTCCGAAATCATTTTAGAATAGTATATTAAAGTACAAGTTGCAGAAGGTATCTATTCAAGCACAAATTTGAAATTCCGAAACGAGCCGCGAAGTGGCGAGTTGAGGAACAAATGAGTGCTTGAAGAACCTTCTGCAACAAGTGCTTTATACTATTTTTTCTATTTCTATTTAAATTAAAAAACGAAAATTTAATTTTTTTTCTAGAGAATTTTGCGACGGTTGGCGACATTTAGGTATATGGAATAGTTTTAGGCGGCTGTAAAAAATAAAAATAATTCATATTTTCAAATTTTTGAAATTGAATTGTGAAGAAAATCCGTCACAAAAATTAAATTAACGCCAACGACTCATTCCAGCACTCAAGTGACGTCATTTGGGTGCTGAAATAGACTTATTCTAACACCGAAATAGAAAAAAAATTTTCAATGTTTGGTACAGATGATAACTTTGATACATCTAAACAAGTACAAAAATAAAATGTTGAAATTTTTAATTAGGGGCTTCCTAAACTAGATGGGATTAGGGTAAAAATTTACTCGAACTATATTGCCTGTGGTTTCTTGCCACTTTCAGCAACAAAATTTCATAGTTTTTCATAAAAAAGGTCTTTTGTGTTTTTCCTGTTTTTCCGATACAATTTACGGATTTTTAGTAAAAATCGGTTTAAATAAAAATTAAAAATTAAATTCGTTTTACCGTTTAGGACGCCCCTGATTATAAAGATAAATTTTGTTATTTGGCATATGTTTAGGTAAACATAGTATAAAGGTACCAAATTTTGTAATTTTATTTATTCTGAAATATTAGGGAAAACCCTTTAATAAACGTACTTTTTTTAGGGGGTGTAGCTCCCTTTCAAAGCATTTTTCGAAACACTTTTGTCTTAAAATTAAATATTCTATCAACTATTTAAATTTGTACCTAACAATAAAAATGAAACACTGTATAATTAACACATGGAAAATTAATTCACAAAAATTTAAAATTAACTCACTAAAATACCAAAAAATTTAAATTTATAACACTATATAACAAAGTGCTCAGCATTTCAGAGGGGGGGGGGGGTTGAACACCCTAATCCCCTCCTTGGGTACGACCCTGTATTGTGGAGAAATTATTTTGCAACAGAGAAGTTTCAGTTTTTAAAAATGATCTATGGCTTGAGCGAGAATGTACATACGCGCGAAATGTTAAATGAGGAAAACAAGTAGTACATCGTTGCAATAAAAAAAGTGGCCGCTAAGGTCATACACAAGTGGTGCTTTGGTAGATGTTTTAATTCAAAGTAGCTCCTTTTTTCCATCCTGATATACATTCTAAATTATTTCGCGCACACGTAAATTCGCACTGTAGTACATACGCAACAGCCGATACAAAACCACATTTATCAAAGAATGATGTGGTCACTACTACGTTTTAGGATCTGATTTCTTCTAATTTATTATTATTTTTAATTAAAAGTAATTTTGCTCCTACAATTAAAGAGTCTCTATATTTAATATTGCAAGATTCAAACTTGGCGCTATATTTGACAATTCTGTGTTTCCAAAGCGCTCTCTTTCGTTCATAGCACGTACTAAACGTGAAGAGCAAGACTGACATGGCTGATATTTTTGATTCGGTCATCTAGTTTTTAAATAATTTTTAATTTTGTTTAAAAAAAGTGGTGTTTAGTTGTTTGTCATGCTCTCGTGCTCCCCTGGTGGTGCAGTGTAACAATCGTCGATAATGTCAACGCCGAGTACAAAGTGGAAGTGTAAACAATTATCAAATAATTGAAGTGTCCTCCTAATGGCAGCCAAGTGTACGATTTTCGCCGAATTTTTTTCCGCGGACATGTAAATAATTATGCAAATGTGCGCGAATTCATCTAGACTTTTTGTTGTTTACGATGCCTCCTAAAGCACATCGCGACATGGCCAGAACTAGCCTCCTTGTGTTTTGTTGTGCTGTTTTTTGGCTGGGCCGATTGGATAACGGTAAGTGTTATAGCCCCAAACGCGTCAATTCGCGATCTAACAAGCGATTTTTTACCTAATGTTTTCGTAAACAAGTTCAAGGTTAGACGTCGATGCGATTTTAGACGTTACATGAACCCACATGGTGGCTCCTTGGACGGAGTTTTATGTAATTTGGTCACCTGTTTCAGGGGTTCAAGCACTCAAATGTAAATGCGATGTGTGTAAGGAAACCAACTACACGTGCCAGACGGAAGGGTACTGCTTTACATCGACTTACTTGCCTAAATCTGGAGTCATCGAGCATACTTATCGGTATGAAGAAGTTTTTTTTTTCATCTTTTTAAGTAAAATAGCCACAAATTGGGTTGGAGCCCTCACTCTCTACCATCGCTAAGGAAAAATTTTCAACCAGAAGTCTTTTATTAGATTTATATCACATTTGAAACAATTGCTTGGTGTGGTTTCAAGTGCAATTGTTGTAATTGGATAACACTGTCTTAGGAGATGTCAACTTAATTCGGATAAATTGTCTGCTATTTGAGATATGATTGGATAAATAAATTTAAGGGTGGTATTTGAAATACCGCAAAATACACAAACTATAATTAACAAAACTGGATTTAAGTCGCTTATAATGAAATCATAAACAGTTGCATAATGAAAGCTATAATAGCATTGTTTTTGGTGTTATAAATTGGCAATATTGACAGTTTCTTTCTGATTTTAGAAACACTGATCAGGGGTTTGTAATGTTGATATTTGACCATTAAAAGAAAAACCCATTTGGGTGTTGAAAAGCCATTTTTTATGGAACCAACATCTTATACTTTCAAGTTGATAATGGTAACGTAAAGAAAAAACGAAGCAAAATATGCTGTTTAGTTACTTGCATAAAAATCTCTAAATTGCAAATTAAAATTTTAATTTTTCTTTTTCGTATAAGATAAATTTTGATACAAAAAATTTCAGGAAAAACACGTTGACACGAACTTTAAATATTGCCACTATGGATCATAAAAAATCAATAAAAAATGTCGCATTGATTTTTAATGATTGTTAACATTGCTATTTTATTATTTTCATTTTTTGAATATTGAATAACGTTTTTCAAAGTACAGTTGCGGAATTAAAATTCCGGCAGTATTTTTCTGTCACTTTTAAAAGTTCACTATAAACTACCCTTTACTGTCATCATGACTGACATTTGACAATTGAACTTTTTTTGTTGTTAAAATTGTTAATTAAACAATTTGTGTCTTAGGAAATTTATTAGTTCAACAAGTGCTGACTACTCGTTATTATGCCACAAATTACTATTTTTGAAAGTAAATAAGTGAAAGTGACAAACATGACAAGAGGTTATTAATGTAAAGGTTGTTTTAAAGTTTACATTATAAAAATGACAATACTGCCCGAAATTTTAATTCCGCAACTGTACATATAAATCTTGAAATACATCCTTCTGCCTGATCTGTTGGGTAATACAGGGTGTCAAAACTCGCACCCCAGAGATAAGATACCAGGAACATGGAAAAAATGTTTAAAAAATTTTTTCAAAAAATTTTGACATTTGACATTTTGTTATGTCTGTTTAATGATACTGATGATCTTGTATATGTTTCTTCATTCTTATTTAGTAAAGGTACAAAAATTTTGCCTTGTTTGCTTTTCTAATGGCCTGTAGCAAAAAAACTGGGAAAATTACTTTTCCAACAATAAAATAGAGTCAAAGTGCAAAATTTAAACTCTCATAACATCAAAATTTATGTAGATAGAATTTTTTTAACATTTTTTATCTTACTTTACCCTGTATTTAACTGTATTTTAAGAAAAAAGTATTGAGTCCAGAATTGTTTATATAATAAAGGTTTTTCAGTTTTTTTTATCGCTTTTTAAGTTGTATTTATTGGTGTTTAATTCATCTGTTATGTAACATTGTGTTGTGTTACTTTTATTGACATCAATTTTGGTAGCTATAAATAATGAAATTATGAAAGAAGATTAAGCAATTTGGAGAAAATAATAAAGTCGATTATTTGTAGGCACAGTATCTGCATTTTTCGTATTCTCATTTAGATAAATCCGATTTTTAATGATGAGAAATGGGAACAATGATTGTGTGTATGTCATTATGAATTTATTAAACTTGTTACTTTGTTTGACTTTGTTATCGGGATATTTTATTTACAATAATAGCCATTTTATCATATAAGAGAGATAATCGTACGTAATAAAAAGAAAACGCACCACAGTGTTATGAAATAAAACATCCAAATCAGATTGTAAACACAAAAATGGAAGATTTTTACATGAATACTGATAAATGATGTTCAAAATAACATTTTTTGTCGTTATGGGAAAATGTAATAAGATCCTTTGACACACTCGGTGGTATAGAGTTGAGGCACAACTCGATTTGTAATTTATACTTTGAGTAAAATATTAGATTGCGATGGTAGCCAGTCGGTGTTGACCACTAACCGAAAGTCCTCAAAATCCCACCGATTTTCTTTTTGTTTCGTCTAAATTCGGTGTAAGAGACACACTCAAAGGACACTATTTTTGTTTTGTAAAAAACCAAATCTTACTAAATTACTAACGGGCTGTCGAAAACCACACCAGCTGTCTAGACAAACACCAGTTTTTCCCACCTGAAGAACCGCAATGGTGCCACAGCAGACCCACGACAGAGTACGTTCAATGGTGCTGTCGTGACAGGGATTTTTGTAATGCCGAAGCACCACAACTGCATCATCATCATAATAACGAAATCATTTCTTTCGAAAGTACAGGTAACAAACAGTGTGGCCCAACAAAACTACCCCCGAAACTACCACCAGCTAACGGTTTAACTTTTGTGTTTTTCACACTAACAGTTTTTGATTTAATGGAATATTAAGAGTGGTTTAGTTTTTTTTAGTATTCTAGCGCTAGTCTTTTAATCAGATCCTTTTCCTATCCTATCCTTCAAGACTGGCTATCAGGACGACGAATTCAGCGAATAAAATTATTTATTTAATTTCTTGTTAATTGGCTGTTCTTGATTGAAATGAAAATTTAGGTGCCTGGATCGATTCCTTCAAGTTCCTCATAATAATCCTTTTTTCTGCCATCGGCAGAACTCCCTCAATTCTACATTTGTCATGGAGTGCTGCAAAAACGAAGACTTCTGCAATGTACACCTTTCACCCCAACTAATGCAAAAGCCCCAAGGTAAAAGTGCAGTGCCACCCTCTAAAACACACTCTACTTCGATTCTTTTATTACTTGAGCAGCACTGTATAGCAGTAAAAATGCCTCTATCCTGTCTTTATTTTAACACGGTTGTAGTTTTTTCTGCTGTAATAATTATAGCATAGGCTTCTATTTAGATTAGAATTTTATTTTTAGTTTCAGATTTCTTCTTACTTGCAGTAACAGGTGGCAGTTGTACAAACCTAGCTTACGTAATCACATAGCATGCTCTGTTGTCTTTCTTTTTTTTGACTTTTCAGCGACTGAAACTTGTACCCAAATGCTTCAGTTTTCCTCAAGTTATTTCTTTCTGTTTATAGATGTTACGACAAAAAAAGCATACCTGATATAGTTGAAACATCAGGCATGTCAACTGAATTTTGTTACCGATATGCTGTTGTTACAAATCACCCGGACTTTACCAAAGTGGCATCAGCGTGCTGTGACGATAGAGATTTTTGTAATGCTAATATAACTTTGTCCTTACCAAACGAATTAGAATGGTTAGAAAATGCATCGATGGCAGGTTAGAAATCGGATTTTTTTTAAAAAAAAAAAGGGCTTTATGTCATTTTTTTGATTCGATGATCATTGGGCCAAATCCTGGTCTGCAAATTTGTTATCATTGTTTCGATGTCATGTGTTTCAGTCAGTGCATGAGATGCTGCCTCAACAAGGATTCAGATTTTTCATGTCATTTTGGTAAAAGTTTGAGAAAATAAAATTCAGTTTAAACTAACTTTACCACTAATACAAATAGACCAGGTATCTCATAGAAATGTGACGTCTGCTTTGGTATGTCTGAAAATTTGGATGGATTGTAGGGTTGTTTATTGTCTGCTTCCATACGAAATGTGAACAGAATTAAATTCTCTCATGCGAATTTTTGGGTAACTAATTAATAGAACGTTTTGTTGCATGATGTTTATTTAATGTTCTATACTGGAATTTTTCTGTTTTTTAAATGTTGGTAAAAAGTCATTAAAATATAAAATCGAAAAACATTCAAGAAATTAATTAGACCATAATGAATTAAATAAAAAAGGCTTTTTAAACAATTGTTAATTTTTTGTTTAATTTTCTATACAAAAAATTAAGCTTGTAGCTGAAGTTATTGTTTATTATCGTTTATCTTCTAATGTGGAGATAATATTTTGTTTAAAAGACTTAACCCCTGATATTTATCTTGAAGAAATGTTTATTTTTATGAATGTTAATGTTCTTCAAATTTATTTTAATCATTTATTTATTAATTTATTAATTTATTTATTAATTTATTTTAATCATTTTTTTTATTTTTGTACTCCTAACTGAAATAGTGAAATATGAACTTTTGTATAAATAACATTAATTCGGTTTGGGTCAATCACTATCGAAGAAAGGAAACATCCTTCACTCATAATTTAAAAATAAAAATATCTATGAAGGCATAAGGCATTTTTGGATTCTGGGTAAGTGTCTACCGTTCGTTTACGAATTATTAATTATTGTATATGACATTCTATCTTGGATGTTCTTTCTCATTAACGTTAAAAAAATCCTAAAATACAGAATCTGATAGAGCAATTAAAGAAAAAATTAATGAGTTGGACCCTAATTATTATTCCCACAGAAGTGATAAAATAGTATATTAAAAACCAAGTTTCATAAGACCAATCTTGAAGCACGAATTCAAGTTTAAAAAATGAGTGGCGTAACCACGAGTTATTTTAAAAAATGAGTGCTTCAAGGTCTTACGAAACGCGTTTTTTATACTATTTTTTGTAATTTGCCCTCTTCATGCCGTTTTTAAACAATTTTTTTTACTTTAATCGATTTGGGGATTTAGGGGATGATCACGTCGCGTTCTTTAATATGTATGTCTATTAGAGAATTAAAATGGGGTCAAATTGCAAAAAAAGTATTTAAATACAAGGGTTTTAATTCTTTTTCTGAAAAAATGTTTTTTGCTTAATATTTTTTACAAATAGAAACTTGTAGCTGAAGTTTTTTCAAAAATAATATAATGTTTGAGAATTGTTTAAAAGTAATATTTTGTTGTTTAAAAAGATTTAATCGAATTTAAAGGATCATTAAATTAGATGTTGTTTAGAGTGTCCTGATTCTACGGACTTGTTAACAAAAATTTCACATCCTAAACCAACATTAACTTTAAAGTCTTGTTAATTTGATTATGAAACTGGCCCTTAACCCTTGAACTTTTTCTTAAAGTTTAATGAGAATTTTTGTTTTAATATTTTTACATTTACTTGTGTTCTCTTAATTGAGTTATGAACTTCTGTGTAAATGACAATAATTCGTTTTAATTAGTAATTAAAGAATTTAAGGTCCGAAAGCAGCTTTTTAGGTGGAACAATTTCTGAGTACTTCATAAAAATAGTTAAAAAATTATATATTGTGTTAACGTTTCGCGTGGAACGGCAAAATTGTGGAGCATTGTCAGCAATGACCTAGGAATTGAACTTCAAAAATTTTAAAAATAGTAAGAGTTTAACGACAGTGCTCTTATGTCAGTTAAATGATGTAGTATAAAAAAATGTGTGCAAATTCGTCTACTAAAAATTTGATTTTGTAGAAAAAATTAGTTGCATGTTGTGCATGCTTTGCTTTGCTTATAGTGTGTGTCTTAAAAATCTCAAAAAGGTAAGTCGCTTAACTTCTCACGATTGAAATAACAAAACACACTAATAACCACCAATAAAAAAAGGAAAAACCCTAACTATTTGTATTATTTAGGCCCAAAATTCTCCAACTTTACAACAGCGGAAATCGTCTTGATGTCTGTCATCCCTACGATGTTGTTATGTTTCGTCGGCGTTGGCATTTATTATTTTTACAAAACAAAACATAAGCGTGGTGGGTTGCACCACCATTTACGTCACGGAGAGGATAGTATCGAAGCCCCCGATCACCCGATTTTAAAAGGGGTGAGTTTGCAGCATATGATCGAGATGACGACAAGTGGTAGCGGGTCAGGTAAGACTCAAATTTCACGTTTTTGCGTTTATTAAAGTGTTGTTTTCAGGGTTGCCTTTGTTAGTGCAACGCAGTATAGCTCGCCAAATCCAGCTTGTTGAAATCATTGGTCAGGGGAGGTTCGGGGAGGTGTGGAGAGGACGTTGGAGGGGCGAAAATGTCGCTGTAAAAATTTTCAGTTCACGAGAGGAACGTTCATGGTTTCGGGAAGCCGAGATTTACCAAACCGTCATGTTACGGCACGATAATATCTTAGGATTCATCGCAGCCGATAATAAAGGTATCTGCACTAATCCCACTTGTTTGATTGGTTAACTGATGGTTTTAGATAACGGGACGTGGACCCAATTGTGGTTGATCACCGATTATCACGAGTATGGGTCGCTTTTTGATTTCCTGGGTCGAAATACGTTGGACACCAACGGTATGATAAGAATGGCCTTGTCTATTGCCACGGGTCTTGCCCATCTCCATATGGATATAATGGGTACACAGGGCAAACCGGCGATTGCCCATCGCGACTTGAAGTCGAAGAATATTTTGGTCAAGTCGAATTTTACGTGCGCTATTGGCGATTTGGGACTGGCGGTGAGGCATGATGCCACCACTGATACGGTCGATATTCCTCTCAATAATCGAGTGGGAACTAAACGGTATATGGCACCAGAAGTGTTGGACGAAACGATGAATGTAAATCATTTCGATTCGTTCAAAAGAGCCGATGTTTATGCGTTGGGGTTGATATTTTGGGAGATTGCGAGGCGGTGTAACGTGGGAGGAATTTACGATGAGTATCAGTTACCGTTTTATGATGCTGTGCCATCTGATCCCACCATTGAAGAGATGAGAAGGTGAGTAGAAAAAGAAATTTTGCGTTCAGTAGTAGTACTTGTGGTTTTACACAACTCTAACAAAACTTTTTGTTTTAAAAACACTCTTAAAAAAAATAAGCTTTTATCTAATTCTAGTTATGATTGTAATATCAAGTTTTGAGAGATTGAAAAAAAATTGTTTTTTTTCATTTTGATGAAGATTAAGCAATGTTCAGAAACAATACCAGGTGAATAAAAAGTATGGAACCAAGCGTTTTTTCGTAAACTAAGCACTTTACGAATAAAAATAATTAGTGTAGCGTAAAGTACAATTAAAATGTGACCACTTATCAAGAATAACATTTCTTTTAGTTTTCGAGTTCTGGAAAAAAAAATTTTTTTAAATGGCAAACCATGGTAATTTTTTTAATTAAAGATTATGATCTAAAATACTTTTTATTCACCTGGTATGTGTAATTGTTCCTTTAATTCTTTTACAAAACTTTGATCAATCGGTCCAAGAAAACGGTTTGATGGATCGATTTAAAACTTAACTGGGCTATTGAACCTAAAAACATTAGGTTAAATACGCGGAAGATGCAAAAAGTTACTTTTTCTCTTTTTTTAAATCAATGTTGAGGGTGAAAAAAATTTTTTTTGGAGAAAATCATAAACGGATCTTGTAATACATTTATTCCAGTTTTTCATACTACCCTTATATTCACTGTGTGGTCATTAGTTGCTGAGTTATCGATGATCAAAGACAAAAGGATCCTTTTTTATTTAAAGTCAGATATCTCAGCGACAAATTAACTTAAAGAGAATATGAAGAAAGCATATTAAAGGTGAACGAACATGTTATCTGGCTATTGACTTAATTTTAAAAAAAATCCCCACGTCCCTGGACCAAAAACAAACAAAAATAGATTTTTTTTCTCGCGCTATTACTTAGGATTCTGTGATAACCGTAGCATAGAAAAAAATTCTGCCAAAAGATCTCAAAGTTACAGCCTTTCAAAAATCACCAAAAAATTTAGGAAAACTTTTAGCTCCTTTAATTTTTTGAGTCCGGTCAAATTAGTCATAAAAATTGTGGTCAAATAACGAAAATTACGACACAGCTAAATTTTGGTGGAGACCTTGGGTACGCCATTAGAAATAAAGTGTCAAAAGTCTCCATCGATCCGATGTGTGCTAAAAAAGTTATTCGGGGTCAAAGGTCAAAATTTGAGGTTTTTTAGATTTTTTTCGAAAACGGTAAGTTTTATCAAAAAGTAGCCCAGACAAAAATTATAGATCTTAAAATTATCTACATAAATGGTCCTTACGCTTTTTTTTTCTAAGAATCACCATTCCTGAGATATCGAGATTCTAAAAGTTGAAGTTGAGTAACGTTCTACATCATATGCACATACAGAGTGCTCCAGAACTTGCGTCCCAAAGACAAATGCCATGTAGGGTAAGGTACCAGGAACATAGAAAAAATTAAAAAAAAATTCTATCTATAAAAATTTCAATGTTATAAGAGTTTAAATTTTACACTTTGATTCTATTATTTATTTCTGTTGGAAAAATAATTTTCCAAGTTTTTTTGCTACAGGCTATTAGAAGCGGAAACAAGGAAGCTATATCCTAGGAAGCTGTAACTCTGTTTAATGTTATTTGTGGCTTTTATTCATAAAATGTTTGTACCTTTACTAAATAATTATACAAAAACATATGTATACAAGGTCATCAGTATTATTAAATAGACATAAAATTTTCAAATGTCAAAATTTTTTGACAGTGAATTTTTAAACATTTTTTCAGTACTCTGGGAACTACCCAATTACTCCCTTAACAGGAAGTGCGAGATTTTTTGAACACCCTGCCTGTATGTATTACCGAATAAATTCTTTTTAATTCCAATGGAATTTAGATACTTCTAAAGTAGAAGAAAAAGTAAAATAATGTTTAAAAAATTCTATCTGCCAAAAAATTTTGCCATTTATTTTTTGACATTTGACATTTTTATGCCTAATTATATTGATGATTTTGTATATGTTTTTTTACAATTATTTAGAAAAGGTACAAAACTTTTGCCAATAAAAGCCACAAATAACATTAAACAGAGTTACAGCTTCCTAGGATATAGCTTCCTTGTTTCCGCTTCTAATAGCCTGTAGCAAAAAAACTTGAAAAATTATTTTTCCTACAGAAATAAATAGACTCAAGGTGCAAAATTTAAACTCTCATAACTGAAATTTTTATAGATAGAATTTTTTTTTTAATTTTTTCCATGTTCGTGGTACCTTACCCTACATTTGTCTTTGGAGCGGGAGTTCTGGCGCACTGTATGTGCATATCATGTATCAACTTTTAGAATCGCGATATCTCAGGAATGGTGATTCTTAGAAAAAAAGTATAAGCACCATTTTTGTAGATAATTTTAAGATCTATAATTTTTGTCTGGGCTACTTTTTTGATAAAACTTACCGTTTTCGAAAAAAATCTAAAAACGTCAAATTTTGACCTTTGACCCCAATTAACTTTTTTAGCACACATGGGATCGATGGGGACTTTTGACACTTTATTCCTAATGGTGTACCCAAGATCTCCACCAAAATTTAGCTCTGTCGGAATTTTAGTTATTTGAAATGACCCGACTATGTAGTATGAAATATTTACATGTTAAGTCTGTGTTTTTTTTTTTTTTCATTAAATAGTTTTTTAATAAGATCTGCTGAAATATGGGGACTTGGGAAGATTTAGGCTAAACTTGTTGATTTTAGGGTGGTGTGTGTCGATAAGCAAAGGCCGAACATACCGAACCGTTGGCAGAGTTGCGAAGCTTTGCGGGTCATGTTGAAATTAATGAAAGAGTGTTGGTACCACAACGCGACGGCTCGATTGACAGCTTTGAGGATTAAAAAGACACTCTCTAACTTCAGGACATCAGAGGAACTTAAAATGTGAAAGTTTAGTACGTTTGTGTCAGGTATGTATAATTAAACCCATAATGTTCTATAATTAATGATTTGTTGTTGCAGGTGTACAAAACTGTGTGTGAACGTTCACGCGATTTTTTACGTTTTAATTCGATTATTTTCCGAGTATTAAGGTGTAAACCGGTCCTATGTGATAGAGCGTTGATTTGTTAAAAAAATGTCTCATAGGATGTGTTGAAAGGTCTGTATGAAAGAGTGAAATGTTCACTGCCCCGGTTTGGTTCATATCCACAACAATACCGTACTGCCTGCCCACCCATTCCATAATTTACGATAGTTGAGAGCTTCTTCCTTGATTTTAGTTGGTTTTCCGTGTACAGTTTGACCATAATATTGTGATCCTTCCCGACTCTCTGCTTGATCTCTATTTCTGTTGATTGTTATTCTACTGAAAAAATTAACTGCCGATATGCCAAAACCATAAACAGAGTCAATTATTTTTACACAAACAAAGTAATAGCTGTTAAAAGACAATATTTTTTATTCAACAATGTTCAATTTAAGGTCAACTGTCATAGTGGATAAAGTAGAGGTCTTTTTATACATAGTGTAGATATAATACGTAATTATTGTACATTTATTTTATTTTCGGTTCGATTCAAACAGCAAAAAGGCTCCTAGTCAACAATAGTGCAGACTATAAACAGATAAAACAAATTCTGACAACACTTGTGTGAATGTGGAGTGAAAAAATTTCGTAGTTCCTACAAAAGTCGTTCATTTATTTCGTGGTGGATTTATTTTTGGTCGATTTTTGTTACGCAAGCGTGTAGTAGACCTAAAGTTTTATCATAGTTGTTGCATATTTTTCATTTGTAAATATTTTAGTTTTGATGCGAGGAGAACGTAATTTAACGTGTATAAGAATTTAATTGTGCTAACTATATTTTTAAGGATATTTATAAAAAAAATTTACTATGTAATTGTTGTGAGCCTAACATATTTAGTTTTGCGAAAAAAATTACTAAAAAATTAAGGTGCACCTTAAAAAAAGATTGACAAAATATAGTTTGCATAAGTATATTTTTAAGTGGTTAAAGTTATACTCATAATAATATACATATAGTTATTCTAATCATGTAATATGATAAAATTTAAGTTGTACAGTTGCGTAGACTAACGTTAGTGATGTAAAATATTGATTGATTTCCATATACACACAACACTTTTCCTCGATTTATTTATTGTCAATATTATGAACGGTCATACCTCAATTTTTGAAAAGATGTGTAGAAAGGTTTGATTGTTGTGTACGAGATTTTTCTGTATATTTTTGTGTGTTGAGGAATTAAAAGTATTGGAAACATAAATTGGTGCGAAATTAAGACTGATTTGAAATAATTTCTCTTACAAAATTAAAATAGTTAGATTTTTTATATTGATTAGACTAGTTAGTGATTTGTGAACCCATAATTTGTTAGATTTTTTGCACAAATTCTTCACTTACCTATACATACAGTAATAATGAATGTTATATACAACAATCTCGTGTAGATGGTTAAACCGACGTCTTGTCTTTTGTCAATATGTAAATACAGATGTAGCTATCCTCATTATTGAAAAAAGTGGTTAACCATTAAATGGTAAAATATTTTTTAAATAACAATAGTGCTGTTTGCAAGGTACAAATTCATGTCAGAGTTTTATACAAGAGTAAATTTGTTGTCAAGTTTTTGCCAAATGTGTGCGTGGCCGTATTTATTACAACACAAACTGTGATTCACCGCTCATCTAAGCCGTTAAATACAAAGCTCAGCCTCGTTTTATAACAGATACGTCTCTTACAAATGACAGATAATTTATAGTCGAGTAAATAGGGCCACGTGCAAAATCGTAGAGAACATAGAGATTAAGGTATTCAAAAAATCACACGAAAAATTATAAACTCATCGTTCTGGCAGAATTTTGGAAGCGGATTGCAGGGAAAACACGAAGTACTGTAATCTCTATATTAGATTAAAAATTCCTCAGGATAAATGTACACACAAATGCAATAGTTAACCTTACTCAATAATTCATAGATATAGTTTTTTTGTTGAGCAAATTTATCTATTTTCGGCTCTTCTGTTACATTAAAACTTTAAATTTATGTATAAGGCATTTAACATAAATATGATTTCTATTTGTTTTCTTTTTTAAGTTTATGTACAGAGATGTTTTGTGCTTAGATGCAAGTATATACCATTTGTAAACGTATTTGAAAATATATTACTACTCATAAAACAAGGTTTTCACAACAAAAATACCCACTTATCAAATCAAAATACACTTTAATATCAATTTCACAAAAAGTAGCGGCTGAGGTCTTTGCATTGAAATAGGATTTTTAAGATGGAGTCACTATTTTGTTTTCTTTTTTATTCAAATAAAACCAGTTACGACATTAAAGCAACATCTTTAACATAATATTTACAACCTATGAATGAATTCTGTATCTTTTATCCCGTATTATCAGTTTCAAAATGCAGTAACTTGATACAAAATTGTCGTCCTTTATAAATATGGAAGTAAAGGAGAAAATCAGAACCGATGGGTGGCATTGTGAACGAAATAGGGAAAAAACAAAACTTTGCCTCTGAGACAACATTTAATTTTATTTTATTACACTTAATTGACAGTTGTTTTCGTTATTTCGGTGAATGGCCGCTAGAAGTGTCACTTCGCTGATTTTCTCCTACTCATAAGCAGCATTTTGAAACAGACTTTAGATTATAAATGTATAAATATTCGAGCATAACATGTCCAATACGTTTTCAAAAATAGCAAATAACCTTATTTATAAAAACGTAAAGTTGTTGGATTCTAAATATTTTTTAATTATTTTAAAAATAATATAATGTTAAGCGTTTTTATAATTAAGGCTTTTTGGTTTCTTCTTAGACTACAATAGACATTTTTTTGTTTGTTTTTTATTTATTTACAGGATCTAATTTTCAACTTACGTTCTTAATTTTTCAATTAGTTTATTATGGAAGGTTAAACTATCGTTTACTCAATTTTACGAAATCTTTAAATGCTGCTTGGATTTCTTCATCCATTTCTGGTTCCGGATCACATAACTCGTCTGGATCAGACAAGTCCCTAAAAATAATAATTAAAATTCCTTTCATTGAAATGAGTGTTTCACCTACGTTAAATATTCCTCAGTAGAATTCATGTTTGCTGCTAGAAAATCATTTTCTTCTGACGTAAATTTCGAACCGTCTGTATTGTAAAATACAGTGTGTGAAGTTTCTTCACTCCAGTAGGTATTTTCCGAGTTGACTTCAGAGTTGGAACTAAAAAATGCTCTTATTTCCACAAATATTTCTTTTTTTGTTTTTACCTAGAATTTGTCGGACTGTTGTGCCCCCATTGCGAACTCCTCAAATTTATAACTGAGTTAATTAAACTCAACGGCGTTCCAGTCACAGTGGGTTTAACTTCATTTAATTTTTCAAAAACCTCGTCCAGGGCTTTTTTATCGTACAGTTCTAACGAATATCCCGTCAACTAAAAATTAATAATGAATTGCGGTTTGAATTAAGGAAATTACATACTTTTAATGCTTGGCAAATGGATTTAACATTTTCATTGCCCCCAACTCCAAGCAGGTGTTTATAAGCGTCTATTAAGTAACTCCCGTAGATGTTTTCGTGGTGTAATTGAGTATACAATTCAGCAACAAATAAAAGTAGTCCAGATTTATTTGTGTGATTTTTCAATTCCTTCTGACAAGTTAAATGCAATTCTGCTCGAAATTCGGGACAACACTGTTCAATAAAACAACACAACCTTGCTGCTGTATATCTAAAACTGGGATACACAATCGCCTAAAACGCATTTTATTAATTTAGTGACCAGAACCGGGAAAACGTTACTTGTTCGACTAGAAGGTGCGCAGCTCGCGCCAGGACGAGAATATCGCCAAAATACGGACACAAAGTATCCATAAATATGTCCAACAAGTCACTAAACTGTCCCGGGTCTTTGGTCAAAGTGTCAATGAGGTGTTTCAAGCGGATGTCATCGGGGGACCCCACGAATTCACTGTCATTCTGGCCCGAATTCTCCACCACTTTGAATTTTTTCAGTCTGTCTTGAACACCACCACTGGACTGTGTCGCACTTTTCATGTACGAAGGGACAAATTCAGGCGCGTCTGCCGACAGACTGGACTTGAACGGTTTGGTATTTTCCTGCGGTTTTTCAGGGCTTTTCTTGTCTTCAAGGAGGCGACTCGGCGGCGCGTTCGGGGGTCGCAAGCCTTTCGGAGCCTCGCACTTGGCGTCCCAGAGGGATGGGGCCTTGTTGTCCATCGTCGCTATTTACTCGCGCCGCAAATTTTCGCCACAATTGGATTTTGAGAGAGCCGAAGGGGTTTTAAGAATTTTCGATTAGACACCAACAAAACACCATCGATTGACATGCGCACGAACGACAAGCAGGGGCACCAACACGCGATATTCACTAATACAAAGTATTACTGGTTGCATACGAGCAGAGTCTCAAAAATTTTCTACTTTTATTTATACAGGGTGTTTCACGTAATTTTACGAAGCCTGCGCCTGTAAGATGCAATCAATAATACATATTTCGATACAAACTCGATTACAAATTTTGAAAAATTGGATAATCTTCTCTAGTTTGTTCACCCTTTCAGAAATTACAACGTTTTTAGTTAATTAGTGATTAAGATAGATAAACTAGAATCATATTCATGCCGTCTCTTGATAGAACAAATGATAATTGTTTCTGAAAAACTACAGTTTATGACTATTAATGAAACAGTGATTAGTTTGACAACTACTATCATGGGTTTCCAAAAATTAAATAATTAAATGTGTATTTTTTGTATCCAGTGTTCTGTGACTTTTGTATATTTGGGTGCGTACATTAGGCGCAAGCCTCGTAAAGTTATGTGAAACACCCTGTAGAAATACACTTCATGAGCAGTTTGGATAATTTTTTTTTAATTTGAATGAATTCTAAACAAAAATGTTTTGTTTACTTTTTTTGAGCCTGCTACTTTTAAAGTCACCATGTTAAATTTTGGTGAGAAAATTGACAGATTGGCAGCTTATTCCCATGGTCACTTATTTTGTTTGTATTTAATTTTTGTTTCTAGAAATTTGATTTAAATAATATGGTTATATTTTTATGTCAAAATGATAAAACTTTGACTTTTACGGAGGGACATTTGCAAAGCGACTGATTGTACCTTGTTTCGCAGCTTTCGCAAAAAACTTTGCGTCTTTAATTACTATTAAAACACCAAAGTTAGTGATTTAATGAAAGCTACCTATTAAGATACTGTTTCTGGAAACTCTTTATGCAATACTTTTACTGAATGTAAGAAATTATTGTGGATCAACGTATTATACTGAAACTAATACAATTTGAGCTACTTTCCAGCAATTTAGGTACTGCATGATATGCAGTAAATTGTCAGTTTTTTTTTAACATATCGACTCTCCCAACGTAAACTATAGTAACTCATAAATAGGAGTTTTGTCCCATTTATGTAATAGGTACATAATATGTTCGGTATCACACTGGATATTCAATGTATTCGCCCCCTTGTAGCTTTTTTTATAAAAAATTATAACAAACCGTATACAGTAACTAATTTAATGTACAATATGTATGTACAGTTGCGGAATTAAAATTTCGGGCAGTATTGTCATTTTCATAATATAAACTCTAAAACAACCTTTACATTAATAACCTTATTATTTTTTATTGTGGTCATGTTTATGTCATTTTGACTTATTTACTTAGAAAAATAGTGATTTGTGGCATAAAACGGGTAGTCAGCAGAGCAAAGCGATGATTTAATTACACTTAGTGCAATTAATAAATTTTAACAGTTGCGGAATTAAAATTTTCGGGCATTATTTTTCTGTCACGTTAAAAAGTTCACTGTAAAGTATGTACCTGTTACTGTCATCATGACTGACATATGACAATTAAACTTTTTTTGTTGTTAAAATTATTAATTAAACAATTTGTCGGTCTTAGGAAATTTATTAATTGAACTACTCGTAAATGTAATTAAATCATCGCTTTGATCTGCTGCCTATCCGTTATTATGCCACAAATCATTATTTTTGAAAGTAAATAAGTTAAAATGACATAAACATGATAAGAGTAAAAAATTAAGTTATTAATGTAAAGGTTGTTTTAGAGTTTACATTATGAAAATAAAAATACTGCCTGAAATTTTAATTTCGCAACTGTACACTGCCGCTCACGGAAGAATGAACACTAGGTTAAAAATTAAAAAACTTTTTTCGATGAGGACAAAATCTAGTTTGATTTTTGTTTATACATTCTGTTGTAAAAATAAAGTTTGTTGTTTTTTATTATAGAGAATGTAGTAAAAGCACTGTTTCATTATATTAACTAAATACATATTTGACTCAAAAGTTTGCTCAATTAATTGTCGTTGAAACAAAAATGACTTTTTGGGTGATGTTTCGGAAATCGCCAATTACTTAATTTAACACTGCAGCGAGCATTTTTCCTCTCTCTAAAAAACTAAGTTTCATATCAGTTTTGCATTGTAAAATTCTCGATCATTCTCATAAAAACCAATCACCTATTGCATCAATCCTAATCTGATCACAATAAACCAAATCAGCGAAAAAATTTCTTCCTCCTTCCATCATCAATTAGTCATCGTAAATTCCATGATTGAGAGTCCGGTGCCCGGAGCGTCACGATAATACCATCACCACCTCTTATCACATGCAAAGTCCTCCACTTGTGGCCGCCAAACGCGTAGTGAAGTAGTCGTAGCGTAGCTGAGGTACTCGCAGGTGCTTCATAAACACAGTTTACGGTCGATTTGAAACCGTCGCGGTCGTCTGTTTCGAAAATAACAAACTTGCACCAAATATGTTGCTCTCGAAGAATATTTCGTGACAAATATCGATAAGATAACAAATCAGTCCACAGTTTTGTATGATACCAAAGACAATTGTGTAGTACGTCACTGGAAAAATGCGTGAAAAGTGGGAAAAGTGCAGTACCTCGTCGGAAGTGGCCGATGGACAACCGGTAAATAATTTCACTATCTGTTATTTATTACAATTTTGGCGATAGAACAGGAACATAATTTTGTATAATTTATCGCCATTATCATATTTTTTGTTAAAAAATATAAAATTATAAGTAAAGCGAAGGTCGCACACGAATCCGGTTAGACTCTTCAAAATCCAGCTCATAAACAAATCAAATCGTGCTAATTGGAGGCGTAACGCCGAATTAACACCTCACAAACACACTTTTTGTTTATATTTTAAACAGTCAACACGATTTATTTATAATTGCGCAAAACTACAATTAAATATTTGCCCCTAATAAAACACGACACTAATTTAGTTTTTAATTGTGATAATTTTAGTTATCAAATATTTGATTCAGCTTGTGGTTTGTCTTGTTAGATAAACATGACTTTGCTCTTCGGAAATTATCTTGCGCGGAAAGCATGAAATTGATCGTTTAGTGGTTAGCCGTTGAAAGCAGATGTCTCGAAGTAGGACGAACTTTACTGCACTGAAGAAGGGTGTGCAAAATGAGCACTTTTTGCGCACTATTACTGCAATTCATAACTGTAAAACTGAAATAATATTTACTCAATATACACGACCAGTTACTTCAATGACAAATACGTTATTTTACTGTACTTAGTTTATAGTATTGTAATTACAAAAAGGACTTTATTTTGTAACAATGAACGGTTTTGATTGTTAGTGACTTAACTGTACGTAAAACTGAACAGAACAAGCTTTTAAATTGTGGTTGTTATTTTTTGTAAAAGGCCTTGCTTTGATCAAGGTGTGTGTTTCAAGTCTCAGGTTTTATTTTTCCATTGGTAGAGTGTTTATAATAATTTTACAAAACTTTGTATCCAGATGAAAAATAAGATATTTATATTCATTAGCCGTAGTCGAACGTATAGGATGAAAGTAACAATTTTTATACAGGGTGATTTTTTAAAACGAGCCACCATGGATATTCCAGAAAATAAACAAAAATTAGAAAATCTCGAGACAGGTCAATTTATAGTTTTTTGACATTTGACTACTGTCAATCACTTTTATAGTAATTTGTTTTGTTAGATCTTATTCTACGTAAGCTAAATAAAAATAACGAAAACTCAAACAAAACATACAGCCGAATTCCTGGTCAAAATATCTTTCATTTAAGGTATCACAAAGGGTTGTTTGTATTATAAAAGGGGTTGATGCTACAACTTTCAAAAGTACACACAAGGTGTTCCCTTGACCTGTATCGGGATTTTCTATGAATTTTGTTTATTTTATGAGATATCCAGGGTGACTCATTTAGAAAATCACTCTGTATACGTATACATGAGTGCATGGAAAAAATGTTAAAAAAATTCTATCTATAAAAATTTGACAAAATTTGATTTTGAAAAAAGTTATGACAGATTAAATTTTGCATTTTGACTATTAATTTCTGTTGCAAAAATAATTTTCCAAGTTTTTTTGCTACAGGCTATTAGAAGAGGAAATAAGGAAGCTGTATCCTAAATTCTTACTATATTTAATGTTATTTGTTGCTTTTATTGGCAAAATTTTTGTACTTTTACTAAATAATTATAAAAAAAACATATACAAGATCATCAGTATCATTAAATAGACATACAAAATTGTCAATTGTCAAAAGATAAATGTTAAAATTTTTTGACAAAAAAAATTTTTTTGTAACATTTTTTTATGTTCCTGGTATCTTATCTTATTTGAAATTTTTCTCTGATGCGTGAGTTCTGATATACACCCTGTATATTTTCATACATAGTCGTAGCTTCATAATGTTGTTTTTTTTTATTTTTTTTGTTTGTACGAAGTGATCCAGAAAGACTAAGTTTGTTGGTAACAGATTTGAAAGTATTTTTGTTAATAATTTGAAGCACTGCAACCGAATACGGTTTTGCTTGACAAATACTTGACGTACAACCCCTCAAGATTGTTGAATTTTTTATCAAAAACGAACAACAATGATAAGTTTTAAAAATTAGAGTCAGGATTGCCAACAGTTTCATTCATAGTGGATCACTTTGTAGTTTAAGGGCCGATTAACATTTGATTGCAATTAAATGTTCTGTAAACCGCCGTAAGATTTATTTAATTTTAAAATAGTTAATGTTTAGTCTGATTCTCATGTTTATGAATTATGGCATTTCAAACGATTTTGTTGAAAAACATACAAGATGTGAATTTTTTTGAAAATTGTTTTTTATTTCCAAATAACTCAAAGTTTTTGCCTTAAAATTTTTACAGGTAAATAGTTTAAAATATAATAAATATAAATAAGTAGTTTATAAAATGTTATAAAATCTGCTAAAAAAATTCGATTGGAAAATGTTTTTTTTAGTGACAGTAGTAAAAACTCAAAACAAAGATTACACTATTAGCAAAATTTGAAAATAATAGTTTAATTTGTTTTTCCATTACATACCATGTTTGTTTAAATTTTTTGTTACAAAAGCAACACCAAACAAAATCTCGATGGATCTCAACCTTAAAGTTTTATAAAATAATTATGAAAATACTAATTACTTGTTGAAAAAATGTTGTACGGGGTGAGTAAAGTTTTGTGTCTACCCCCAAAACGACTTTTTCTAATTAAATTAAAACTGAAAAAATTTATAGGTGATTTTTTTGCAAACAGAAGAACATTTTCAAACTATGCTAAAATGTCAATAAGTCTATAAGTCCAAAACAAAAGACAATAGTGGGATGCGGTTTTAACCAATTTTTTTTTAATGAGCCCGAAAATGTAGGTATATCACTCGTTTTTGCTAAACCTCTTTCCCAGTTTCGGAGATCTTCTATTTGGACATCCAAAATGCACCTTATAATTTACCGTCAACGATGTTTTGCCTATAAAAATATTTAAAATACGCTCTCAAAAGTTATGATATTTGTCATAAAAAATCGCCTCAGAATCCACGCAGATATTAAAAATTTTTGTTGATCGTGAATTTTCTTGAGTTGACGGGTTTTGGGACCTTTGTGTCGGAGGTTTATTATACTACTTACTACTCTAACTTAATGAATCATATATCAGACCAAAGTTCTATTTTGATTGAAATTTTTGCAGGTTGATTTTGTTATGCATTTTTAATCATGTGAAAAACAGGCAATGAGATATTTTGGTGAATTTTTTCATTTTATGGAACAAATATTTTGGAAGAATAAAACTTTTTTTTAATATACCTACACATTGCATAATTTTAGTTTTAATTACAGAGAGCAGAATTTATTCTACTCGGAATATTACTCTATTTAAAATTATTATTACTTTTCGCTTAATGTCAATATCAAAAAATCCCAGGAAATGGACGCTCATGAATCCTAGGTTAGAAATTTTTCTAATTGTTACAGTCATTAAATTTGAAGTGTTCTTTGTTACGCAAGTAAATTGTTAAACCAGTAAAAGTGGGAAGTCGTACATTTATTATCGAGCATTTAAATAAATAAAAGTTCATTTATTCAAGTATTTATTCATGACTTTTTCACAACATCAATTTTTGCCAACAGTGAAATAATTTGCATACAGAAATAATTCCTACATAATGTGTATCAATTGTCGATAATTTGTTCCCACAATTGTCTCTCATAAACGATTTGTTGGCTAACAATGGAAATATTTCAATATTGTTCGTTTCGCTGTAAAATCAGTCCAATTTCCGGTCGTTTAAAACACATTTTTGAATATTTCACTTTTAGTTTCACCGGAAATCTAACAATTTTCTAATTCTAATAAAGTGTATCACGCACGAAAAATCTCACCAATTTTAAACATAGCTTCAAGGATTGTAACATTGATACAAAATTGGTAAAATAGATAAATCGTGTTTGTACACGTGAGCTTGTTCGAAATTAGTATTGAATAAGATTAAAGAAACACCTTTATCGATCGTCTTAATTGCGTTAAATGCCATTGAAGGAATGTACAATTTTTGCTAAATTTGGAACACTTGCAATAAAGAAAGTTGTTTTGCAGCAATGTGATGGGTTTTTGTTATTCATATTACGACTCAATAACATTTTCAAGGTAAAATACGTTCATTAATGAAAATCCTTATCAACTCTTTTCCCATAATTAGCCGATACGTATTGTATTCGGCTTTATTTACATATTTCCATGGCCCTACATGAGTTTTCAATTAGAGGACATCGACACGAAAACATCCAAAGGTCGCAATTAAAGCAATTAAAAAATTAAAAATGTAATGGACTAGATTCAATAATTACGAAATTAGCAGTTATTAAGCCGGGAAATGTCGCTACAACTAGGTAAATTGACAGGAGAGAAAATTCCAGTAAAATATATGCAGTTACTAAGTTACTAACATATTTTCAAAATTATTTCCGTAGTAACAACACACGAAAATTTTGGTTTTCATAGCAACATTTTTCCTCGCCAACTATGATTTTTTTTCAAAGTTTGATTTTTTTATTTCAGGTGCCTCAAAAAATAAGTTTCATCTACGAACCCACCTATAAGAAGCCGAAGCTCCTCCTGAAATCGCCTTCCGTGCGTGCTCTAAGAAATTACAACAACTTATCGATCGTCGACAATTCCCAAAATACTTACGACAACTTAAATTTTATCCCCGAGAGTGGGAATGTCGATTTCAATACCTACGAAGAAGCTTACACTTCGACGATAACATCGAACGACTCAAAACAGAGCATTTTTGCGAATACTTACGATTTGTACGATTATACGACTTTAGGGTCGTCTTCAGTCAAGACAAACGTTTCGAATAATGGGTCCGAATTGGGCTCGGAGAAGAATGAAATGGGTTCGACGACAAAATTGGTCACGTCCAAGATGGAAATGGTATGTTCGTGCTGATTAATTTATCAAAATTTTTTCTCATTACGGAGGAATTTCTCCTTGTGATAAGACTGTTTGCTTGTTTGGTACAACTTTCGGGCGCTTTTTATGATTCAGTGTGACTTTGCCCAGCCATAAAATGGAAATTACTCACCTTGCGAGAAATTTTTGGAATTTTCATTGCCGGTTTATAAATAATAATAATAATTAATTCCAGTTATGGTTTTATGAAAATTTGTGGCGAGATTTGTGGAAGAATTCAAGGAATTTATTTTTTATTTATTTTATGATCGTCAACGCTGAATTTTTTCATCTAATAAATTATGAGTCATAATCATAATAACATAATCTATGCGTAATTTAGCCCAGCTATCGTTTTTTTTTTTATTTTCACGTCATTAAGTTTAACAGTGAATTATTTTTTCAAAAATTCATGAGTTGTCGACTTGAAATTATAGAAGTTTTCTTATGTATTATTTTATTTATTTTTCTGTATTTTACTAAGAAGAAAAAAAAATCAACAATCTGAATTCTAATGAAAATGAAAATTAAGGATTCAACGTTTTTGAAATTTATCTTTCATCTTCAGAAGCAAATATTAATAGTAAAAATACAATTATAAAAGAAGTAGAAAGTTAAAAAAGGCGTAAAAGTTAGTTCTACTTAATTAGATTTTTTAAAACTTATACCATTTAATAAAATTTCCGATCATGTCATTTAAAATTCAATTGGCAACATTGAATGTATAAAGATAGAAGATATGACGCACTTATTTAATGTTGCCTATTTACGTTGTTAGCATTATTAAAAATGATTAAATTCCAAATAAAACAATGCATAGTATACCGCAACAAAAAAAAATATACAGGTGTGTCAGAACTCGCGCCCCAGAGAAAAAATTCGTAAGATAAGATACCAAAATGTTTGAAAAATTCTATCTGTGACAAGATTTTGCCATTTAATTTTTGGTCTATTTAATGATACTGATGATCTTGTATATGCCAATAAAAGCCACAAACAACATTAAACAGAGTTATAATTTAAGATACAGCTTCTTTGTTTCCTCTTCTAATAGCCTGTAGCAAAAAAAAAAAAAAACTTGGAAAATATTTTTTCCAAAAGAAATAAATAGAGTCACAATTTAAACTCTCATCTCTAGGGCACGAGTTCTGGCGCACCTTTATAAAATATTGCTAATTACACTATTAGCAGAAAATTCAATCAAGATTATAGTTTTGCACATTTTTTTGTTTTTTTTTCGATGTTTTCTCACATTTGTTTCCTTATAATTTTTATGGTCATTAATACTTTGTTAATATTTATGTGCAAAGAGAATATACGATATTTTTCGCAAAAAAAAAATAATAAAAATCTAGTTTCACTGCTACTAACAGAAACTCAATAAATCTTGACCTACGACCCACAAAACAGGGTGAACACAAACAAAACAATAGAACGAAGCCTTTTTAGCTTTAACTATTTACTTTTCGAAAAAAAATATTGAATAATTGAAAATTTTGGGAATTTTTGTAAAAATTTTGTAGATTTTCAGGAAAAATTAATATATTTTTTACTACGAATTTTTTTTCCAACAAAGACTGTCATGTAAGAATTACAACTGTATGAAAAGAATTAATTTTTTTTCAAAAAAATTTCTAGTATACTATCTAAAAATAAAATTTTCAGAACTCAAAAAGGAAGAGAATTTTTTTAAATTTCATTCTCAAGAAACGAACATATTTTTTATAGCACTAGGTATCTTTCAGCAATAAGTTTATTCCAAAGGCAAAAAAATATAATACAAAATAAATGTACAAATAACGTAAAAATGAGACTTTTATTTTCATAAAATTGTGGAATTTAGTTTCATTCAATACGTCATTGATTAGATTTGATAATAAATGGAGAAATAAAGTCAAGGTTTTATAGACTCGCTTTATCAAGGATAATATTTTTAATCATTTAATCTATCATATCTCTAATGATTTCGTAAATATTTTCTATAAATGAAAAGTCTCGGACCATTCTTGAGTGGTGATAAACAACATCTAACTGAGTTAAAAGTTCCCATAACAAAAAATTGTTTGAGCTTTTTTCAAAGGTTAGATTTTGGGTTAAGTTTTTGACTGTTGAGATCATGTAATCTTTAATTTAGTCACCGGAAACGACAGATCTTGATCTTAAACAGATACCAGTTGAAAAAAAATCACCAATTTGTGTCTTGTGATATATAAAACATTTAAAAAAGCTAAGGTGCCTACATGATAATATGGAAATTGTCAGTTCTGTTTCTTGTCAGAAACCAATCTTGAAAAAAAAGTGCTTAGCTGAAAGTCTTCTATCACCATTTGAGAGTTGATCTGACACTGTATAAATCACTCTGTATAAATAAAAATTCTACATGTGTAAAATTTTCAGAGTTGTGTTACTTTAACACAAATATTTAGATGCTAAACTAGGCTATATTTACAAGATCTATGTGCAAAGTTCTTAAATCAAGAAAAATATATTTTAATACTATCTAGACCAAACACCTTGTTAAAATGTTTAATTAACTGTAATAATTAAGATCACTACTGAGTCTATAAACAATCAAAATCAAGAATTAGTCTAACATCATTATTAAGTGTGTCTTAATATCTCTTTCATGATTGCTCCTCAATGGAGAAAATGCATGTCGATTATTTTTACTAGAGTAGGGAAAGTAACTTATACTACAAGTATACGCGATTATTTTCCACTTAATTCGTTATTATTAAATATTGGTAACCTCCATTTAACAGGAATTTAACAGAGAATTTGTGTAACTTTTATTTTTATTTCCGTCCAAATAATGCAACATATTGCAAGATAAATATTATTTGCAAATTTATTCAGTGATAACTAAATACACAAACTATTTCATTTTCGATTTATTGCGGCTCATAAATATTCTTTTGCAGTTATTGCGATTTAATAACAATAAAATTATAACGGAAGTTTCGGCCGAAAATTCTAATTAAACAGTTAGTAGGTACTCGGAAATTGATCTTTTCTGCTCTAGAAACTTTGATGCAACGTTCAAAAATTCGATTTTCCTTAATTTAACAAATTTCTCGAATGACTGTAATTCGAAATAAACCATCTGCCCTAAGTCCATCTTTGAGATCGTAATAGGGAATTAGCAGCTGTTTTTTCACACTCCGTTGGCTCAGAAACTGCGGCTTCTTTATTAATAAAGCTTACGGCTTTAGTCTTCAAACACGCTTCACTTAGACAACAATGAAGTGGCTGACAAAATGAGTGAAAAGTGACAAAAATGTTGTTCTTAGACAACAAACAATATCGGTATTGTCAGCACAATACCTACGCACCTCAGTTTTATTTGCGAAGATGCGAAACACTTAACACTTGGAATTTTAAATTGAAGTGCATTTTGAAAAAGTCGGATTGTTACAAAAAGTTGGAGAAGGTTAAAGTGAGTTAATTGAAACGATTTTATTTCATTTATGATACCTAGAAAATGTACTTATGAGCGGTCATATTTAATTCAAGAGATATGCCGGTTCGAGTCCATATACGACTACGGTTTTTTGTGATTTTAAATTAAAATTTACAAGCTTCAGTGGCCATAACCACGTGTTTTCTGCTGAATGCAATTATTTATTTAAAGATGATATCGCGGCAATGTGTGCGGGATGCCGTTAGCTAGCAAAAATTATTTCATAAACTCGGTTTATTGCAGCTAATGCAATGTTGTCATTCTGGTTATGCGAAAAAGTGAATGCATCTGTCTTAACGATTATATTTAATGTTTTGGAAAAAAATAATATTCCATTTCCTGGAGTAATGGAGCGGATAAAAGTTGCACCGAGTGATACACTTGAAAGAAATTAAGAGAATTTCCAATTTGTGAGTCGTTTACCTTTGCGATTTGATTTTTTCCTATTTCTTTTCACTGCTGATTCGGATGAAAAAAAACTTTAAGTCAATTTTTACGTCCCTAATACTTAAATTCAAAAATTGTTACAATAAGATTGGATTTTGGTTTATATTGTGTAGTAAACTATTAGATTTCAGTAACTTTAAAGTCATTTTTCGGATACAGCATCCCAGAATTGTCCAAAAATTCGATTATTTTAATTTAATGTTCAAATGTTCAGATTTTAAATATCTCTGTAGGCGAAATTGTACGTAGCGATGTCTCCGGGTTTTCGCAGTTTCATAGTAAAACGTAGATTTCGACGGTATTTATTTTTGTCAAGTTTTGATTTGAATCAAATTTTAGATTTTCAAACTACGATTACGACAAAGTAGAGGTATCGAAAAAGTCAGGCATATTTGAAATTTCCAAAATGCTACGGGTTGGAATCCGAAATATCGAAATCCACTTTTTTGACAAAAAATGTTTGCGATGCAAACGGGTGTTAATTCTGGTGAAACTACCGACCAGAATTATGTAAAATGTATGGAAGAATCGATTGGTGCATACAAAACTGGAAAATTTTAGGTGGTTTCGAAATTATTGACAAAATCATAAAAATAAAAAAAATGAAATCAAAGTTCAAACAGTTTTCACCTATGACCGCTGGTTTTCGAGTTATAAGTTTTTTGTATGTGTAAATCGGTAACCCGACGAGCGACCCTAGATTTTTATGCACTACTCTAGACAGTTGAATATAGATTTCGATAATTTTTAAAATTCTTTAATAAACTTAAATAAGATTTTTTTCACTTTTGCGGCGCCGGCGTAGAGTTAGCGCATCATCGCAGTTGACGTAAAAAAAACCGTAAAAGGTGAATAAAAAGTATGGAACTAAGGCTTTTTTTTAATCATTTGCCTTCAAAAGGTATAATTCATAAAAATTTAAAGTGCTATAAAAAATAATCACGTTTTGAGAATTAAATTTTGTTTTGTTTTTGAGTTTTGCGACTTTTTTGTCAAAAATGGCAACTTATATGAATTTATTCTTGTTAGAAATTGAATAAAATATTAATAATTACGATCTTTAAATTATAGCCTTTGTAAAAAATAAGTTTTATAGTGGGTTGCGATTTAAAAAAAAAAAATTCAAAATTTTTTATTTTTGAAAAAAGTCACATTTTTTATAGTATATTCCTATCAATTAATAGCTTAAGCAAAAAATCTTTGGTTTTTATTCACCCTGTATAAGACAGCATAAACTTTATTAAATTGTTAATATGCTGTCATCATAAATTGCAGACGGATTCTCAAACTTTGTTTTTTTTTAATAGAAAGTTTCAATTTCCATCCTTTATGACATTTTTAGCTAATTAAAACATAATACTCAATTTTTTTATTATATAATTAAAATCTACATTAAAATCTAAGACACCCAAAATGCTCAAAATGCCCTTCAAAATGTCAGTAAAAATTCTTAAAAGATTAGATTTTATTTCAAAATACAGAGCTTTTGCGCGGTTTGATTGTGATGTAGGAGGACTTCGGTACAGAAACAATAATTTACAGTTGAAATAATGCGTATTTATATAATTTTTTAAAATATATTCAATGGTTAATTTGTAAAACTAATTTCACTTTGTGTTTATTTCTTAACTAAGATTAAAGTTCTAAAACACAGTTTTATACGCAATTTTGTTTGCAGTATAGGACCCCATTATTTTCTGCTTACTAAATTGCTATAAGAATTATTTGAGGTATTTACTTTGTCTTTTATGTAGAACAATTTTTTTGATTTAACGCCAGAAATATCATCGTGTTATTAGATGGATTATTTTTTATTTCTGTTATAATAAATTTAAAACAATTTGAAAAGTTCTCTCAATTTATTCTCACTCTCTTGTGATATTACTGTTGATTAAGTTCAGTTATTGATAAATGATAACTATCGGTCGAAAACTTTAAATTGTTCTACAAATAAATCTTTTACTTGAATTAATAATTATCTTGTATTTTAGAATCATAGATAATAACTGGTCGAGGAATTTAAGACAACCGACTTTTTTCTAAAAAAATCGCATTCAGAATCCATAATTTTAAATATTATGCAAATAAATCAAATCAAATTAAAATTGTATGTTTGTTTTTCCTTGATTTTATTTCACATGATTTTTTTTCGAAAAATTTATGTAATATTTAATATTTGGGTGTTGTCATTACGACAATAATTATAAAAGATCTATCAAATTGGCAAACACCAAAAAATGTAAAATTCAAGTGAAAACTGTGTATTTAAAAAAAAACAATGACTGAGCATTTTTGCCAAAACACAATATTTTCAGTTTTAATATGATTATTTCATAATTTTGCCGTTTACTGAATAATTTTTAAAAATAGATCCAATAGTTAATTTGTAAAACTAATTTCGTTTTGCGTTTATTTCTCAACTAAGATTAAAGTTAAAGTAAATAAAACACAATTTTATGCATTTTTGATTACAGTATAGAACCCCATTATTTTCTACTTACAAAATTATTTAAGGTACTTTGTTTCTTATGAAGGACAATTTTTTTTGATTTAACGCCAGAAATATCATTGTAGTGTTCGATGAATTAGTTTTTATTTCTATTATAAAAAATTGGAAACAATTCGAAAAGTTCTTCTTACTCTTTTGTGACATTACTGTTCAATTATTGATAAATGATAACTATACATTGAAAATTTTAAATTGTTCTACAAACAAATCTATTACTTGGATTAATAATTATCTTTTATTTTAAAATCATAGATAACTAATCGAGGAATTTAAGAGAGCCGACTTTTTTCCAAAAAAATCGCATTCAAAATCGATAATTTTACGATTTCTATCAAAACACCAGACAAAATATTATGCAAATAAATCGAATCGATTATCCGTGTATGGGAACCACCTGCCACGGTAAATCTCCCAATCTGCAATTATTATTGACTCTTCATGTCCACAATATTTAACCGCCACTCATTCATCAGCATTTTTTATTCTAATTAAACCGGAAATTGAGAAAAAGCAACCGGAAATTCGCGACCGGATTATTATCGAAATGAAGAGAAAGCGTCCTTTAGGAAGTGAATTTTTGCAGTCTTGCCAATCATGGTTTTCTCGTCTGGAGACAGTCCTCTGCACCATTTCCCTAGCTGCTGGATTTGGAAACTTGTATCGACTACCTCAAACCGCATTGTTACAAGGGGGATTGCCCTTTCTTCTAGCATATGTCATCCTGGTAATACTTATAGGACTTCCTTTACTCTTTCTGGAATTAGGGATAGGGCAACTGGCACAGGAAGGGTTTATCAAGTCGTGGAGGGCTGTACCCTTCTTCAGAGGTAACTTGATTTTTTTCATTTTTTTTTAAACAGAATAAGTAATATTAAAGTCAACTCCACAAATCGATAAGTTTTTATTTTGTCAAGTTGGGACATGTTTGAGAGAAAGTAAGACAAATCAAATGCACTAAAAAAATTTAAAAAGTCTATACACTTTGAACAAAATATTTTTTTTTTTTAATTTAAATGAATTTAAAATACTTTAACTTTAAAAAATCGTAACTCAATAACTATTAGGCCGATTTCCTTCAAATAAAGACCATTCTAAAGGGATGGCCTTGCTCTTTGGTATGATATAAAATTTGAAATTGAATATTGGCAAACTTTTCTTCGAACAGTGTTCGAAGAAGTTCGAAGTAAATCGAAATAATCTAAGAAAAACCCTACGAGTAATTTTTTTCATCATTACCGTCGTGTAGAGCATCTCTTTATTAGTAGTAATCCAGATTTTCAAAAAAATATACCGAGTGGTATTCAAGATATGATTTTTTAAAGTTATGGTTTGCTAATCAAGCATTGCCCCATATTGGAGAAATGCATGTTAATCTTACTTAAAATTGCATTTTTATAAAAGTATTTGTTTTAAGACTCTTCTTTTGCTTAAAAATGGTCAATTGCACCTTCTTTGTTCTAATTACAATAAACAAAAAACTGTTTGTTTACTTAAAACAAATAAAAAGTACATGCGTACTAATTAAAGCAAATAAAGAGTTTTTTTGTTGTAAAAATGACCACTGATCATTGAGCAAAGAGGATCTAGAAGTTTAAGGCACGAGCTCTAAATATAAGGGCAAACATTTTCAAATCAAATCACTTTCTATTCAGATTTCGACTTCACTTCACTTCACTTTGTTCTAGCTTTCGGAACTTTTTTTGAAAACGTTCTGAGCAAGCTTTTGAGTGATGTTAAATGCAATAAGTCACCTGATTTATTTTGTTGGTACATTCTACGATTAGCTTCAGTTAGCTTGTAGGTAGTAGTTGTTGTGAATAACAGTTGCACACGAAGCAACTGACTTATTGCATTCAACATCAGTAAAAAGTGATGAAAAAACATTTGCTGAGAACATTTTCAAAAAAAAGTTCAGAAAGCTAGAACAAAGTGAACAGGTTGGAATCTGAATGGAAATTGAATTACCGCTACCGCTTTAAACTTTTGGATCCTTTTTGCTCAATGATCAGTGATCATTTTTAGAACAAAAAAACTCTTTATTTGCTATAATTAGTACGCAGGTACTGTTTGTTTATTTTAAGTAAAGAAACAGTTTTTTGTTTATTCTAATTAGAACAAAGAAGGTGCAATTGACCATTTTTTAGTCAAAAGAAGAGTCTTAAAACAAATAATTTTATAAAACTGCAATTTTAAGTAAGATTAACATGCATTTCTCCTACATGGCGCAATACCGGAATAGCAAACCTTAACTTCAAAAAATCATATCTTAAAAACTACTCGGTATATTATTTTAAAAATTTAGATTCTTACTAATAAAAAGATGCTCTACACGATGGTGACGAAGAAAAAAAAATACTCGAAGGGTTTACTTCGATTTACTTCGAACTTCTTTCAACACTGTTTGAAGAAAAGTTTGCCAATATTCAAATTGTATATCATTCTTAAGGGGAAGTCCATCCCTTTAGAATGGTCTTTATTTGAAGGAAATCGGCCTAATAGTTATTGTGTAATGATTTTTTAAAGTTAAAGTATTTTAAATTCATTTAAATTAGAAAAAAAATATTTAGTTCAAAGTGTGTGGACATTTTGAATTTTTTTTAGTGCATTTGATTTGTCTTACTGAGACGAACAAAATGATATAAAATTTGTCAAGTTGTCACGACATGACTTTTTTTGTCGCCCTTTGTAATCAAAAAATTTTGAACAGTGAACATTTCAATTTTTTAATCTTGTAAATTTTTTATTTTAAAGTGTAACAATTTTCAACGGCTGATGATGGCGCAAGGGTGCCGAAACATGTCCCAACTTGACTAAATAAAAATTTATCGATTTGTGGAGTTGACTTTAATATTACTTACTCTGTTTAAAACTATAAAACATCCACTTTGGGAAGAAAATGGATCGAGTTCTACAATTAAATGATTTTTTTCAATTTAAATTTAATCTAATGAGTGATTTTTTCAGGCATAGGATACGTAAAATTGATAGCGGGATGTTTACTCAGCATTTATTATTCTTTGTACATGGGACTGTCACTTTATTACATAATCTGGATTTCAGCAACGTCGGTTCCGTTCAAACAATGCGCAAATGTTAAAATGAAAAAGGTAAGTTTTCACAAGTGAGCACTGGGGACGCTACCAACCTTGTACTAGGTACTAGACAAAAAACAACAATTTGAAACTGAATAATATAGAATTAAAATAAAAATTTCAAAGACAATAAGTCGTGTCAAGGAAACTCGAACGCTTTGTTAATTAATTACAACTCATAAGAAAACTTTGTCCTCTTGTTAGGTGGGCGTTATTAACTCTAGACGACTTGAATCACAAGTGTTTTACAATTTTCAAGAGAGCACCAAATACGGTATACCTACATCGAAGTTTTTACGATTTGAAATAACTGCAAGCAATAAATTTAATGGACGTAAAGCTAATTATTTTAATGACATAAACATAAAAAAAGTAATGGAGTCATTACATGACGTAGATTTTTTTCTAGTTAAATAATAGTGTTTTCAAAACAAAATATCTCCTCCTACAATAAAAAAATGCTAATTAAAGAGCCACGCCGTGTGCGTCGACCATGGCAAACGTCATTATTTCTTCTCTTCCGGTGAAATAAGTTGGTCAGTAGTGTCACTATTGAAAGCAATAAAACAGTTATTTGTTGATAAAAGCGATTGATTATTTTTGGGGGCAAAATTGAATTGTGATTAGTTCTGGTTAATGGCACAATACACAATTACCTAATATATTTTCGTGGTTAATTTAACTAATAAGGTACGAAAGTATGCGCTCTGATTGCAGCGTTATAATGAGTGTTCTTGTTATTTTTGTGTGAAGAATTTTCGGAGAAATCGTATTTTTTTATTTTAGACTGGATACTCTGCGGATGGACAGGACGGACAACAGTGTTTGAGGTGAGTCCCCGAAAACTGCCCAACAAAATTTAATTGTCTTGCAGAAAAACATTTTTAGAATCTCCTTTCGATGATCTATACTGGTATGGGATTTTTGCAGGCATTTTGTTCGTAATTTGGATCATAGTCATAGTTTTGTACGTACTTTTTCCCCTATTTTCACAACAGCGAAACTTAAAAAAATCTAATTGCAGATCGATTCGAAGAACTAAAAGTTTCATAAGATCTATATCACTCCTTCTCTTTCCCATCTTGGGTTGTATAATTGCTCTTACGGTCAAAGCAGTTTTTACAGAGGACCATTTTCAAAGTTTGGAAAAATTGGGACAAAATATCGATTGGTCCATTCTACAAAACTCTTATGTAAGTACTATTTGACAAAAATTGGTTATGTGAATTTTTATACGAAATAAATGTGTTCTTGAAAATTTTGGCAAAAAAACTCTTTTATTAAAAAATAAAATAGAAACTTGTTTTCGCAATTTACCCAATATATGATAAATACTTAAACATACAAAGTGGCTCATAACTTTGGATTTAAAAAAAATGTAAAAAGGGACAATTTTGTTGTAATGACCTTTAACATTTATTTATTTCTTCTGAAATTAAAAGAAACACCCTGTATGTTATATTTTATTTGAGTAATTGTAATTGGTATTAATTTTCTGGTATTATTACTTAGATCAAAACATAATTTTTTCTTATTAATTTTCCTATCAAAATGGCTTTTGATTCGGAAATTTAGTAAAATTCATTAATATAGAGACAGGAGACATGAAAACTGACTTGTCTCAACATTATTCATAGTTATCAACTTAATTTCAGACTCATTGTTCACTTCGATCAAAAATGAAATTGAAGACAGAACATTACTTATACACGAGTGTTATATAACTTTTTTTCCAACGCTTTTAAGTACATTCTTCATCAAAAAACAACAACCAAATTTTTTAAAATTCACAGGATTTTTTTGTTAATTTCTTTTAAACAAATAATTTAAAGTAAAATTCTGTACATTAAATAATAAACTGATGTAATTTAAAAGCAAAATTTCCAAAAAATTTGGATTTTTCCGTCTTTACTAACATGTATTTTTTTAATGGTAGGAAAATAAGAATTATAATAATACAATTATTTTATAATCCTACAATTGTTATTAAATTATTAAAGTTAAATATTTTCTGAAACTACAATGCAATTAAATTTATAGAAAAAAAAACATTCCCCGGAGAGGTGAAACGACTCTTGTGAAAGGTAAAAAATTCTCGATATAAAATTTTTATTTTTTGGGGTTCAGCCCTGCTTGGTAAAGACTAATTTCTAATATAATTTTAGTTTTGAAAAATCAAAGTATGCCTTAGAAATTCTCAAAAAACTTATTTCATTGTAGAGTAAAATGCCTTTTATGTGGCAAATACGACAAATAGTTATTAAGAAAAGTTGTTTAGAATCATTTCATCGGCCAGCTATAAATTTTATTTATTATTTCACAAATTAAAGAATTTTATTTTTAACAGTTATTTTATTACGAATAAGCAAATACATTTAGATTATTAGTACTAAATAAACTTTTTGACGGATCTGTTATCTGATAAAAAGCAAAAAATAAAAAATCATAGTTGGCCGATGATTTTGAAATCTGGTGTAGGGGCCTGAATTTTGATTCTAAACAACTTTTCTTAATAATTTTTTGTCGTATTTGCTACATAAGAGGCATTTTACTCTACAGAAAAATTGTTTTTAGTTTTTCTTGAAATAACCAATTTATTAAAAAAAACTGCTGATCAAAAATAATGTTATTTAATTAGAGATCATTTTTAGATCATAATTTTTTATTAAAAAAAAATGTCGTGGTTGGTTGTCATTAAAAAAAACTTATGTAAAACTCATTTATTTTTTTACTAGAGTAATTAAGCAAAAAACGCTTGGTTCCATACTTTTTATTCACCCGGTATGTACATACAATTTTATATGAGAAGTTGACCTATTCTGAAAAAAATGCAATAACAGTTTAACAGAAAACAAGATAAAAATTATGACAAAACCTACACTCGCAGTCCTTGTACCTTGTTTTTGACAGATTTTATATGCCATACGAATTTTTTTAATATAGTCCACTGAATACGAGAGTTCGATTTATTATCAATTTAGAACTGTTATTATTAATAGTAATAATAAAAAAATAGTTTTTTTTAAGAAATCGGCTTCTAATTAAAGATTGTATACTTATGTTGTTAATTTTTCTAAAAAGGGTTTTATGACTCTACAAAAACAGTTTTGTGTTATTTTTAATATCATGTGTTTGCCTTGTTATTTTTCCTTTTTTAATACATCATTTATTAATAATTATTAATACACCATGTTTTTGGAGTGTTTTGGTTCCGCTTCTGTACTAAGTTCGATGCTAAATAAACACAAGTGTAGAAGAAAAATAACAGAACATTAAATTTAATCAATTCACTTTTTCAAGTCACTAGTTAAAACATAAAAAAATATTTTGTTCAGGTTATAAACAAGAATTGTTAATTATTCCCAACAAACGGCTTTTCCAGATTTGGTATTACGCCGCCCTCCAGGTATTTTTCTCCACCAACGTGGGTTTCGGTACTTTTGTCACAAACGCCGGAATTATTTACAACAAAGTCAATCCCCTATGGATTGCTCTCGGTTTCATCACCGTTAATCTCGTTTTTGGGGTCGGTTCTGTGATAATTTGCTACATTTTTGCCGGCGAGTTGGACACAATCCGAAATCCGGGAGACGTCTCCGAGCTTCACCTTCTTGCTCTTATGTACACCATAACAGTCAAGAGTGAAGAGAGAAACGAGGCCAAAATTTGGGCCATTGTTGCCTATGCGGCAATCCTATTGGCTGGTTTTATAAGCATGGTACCTTCATCTAGCCCATCGAAACAAATATTTGATTTTATTGATTTCAGGCAACCATCACATATACTTTGCTCAAGGCAATCACAGTTGAAAACCGAAGACGGCTCAAATGGTGGCAAACCAGCATTGTTTTGAGTTTCGTGGGCTTGGTTCTGGGCTGTGGAATCCTCCTGGAGCCCGATTTCCGAATTGTGAGACTCTTGGACCATTATTTGGTCGGGAATTTTATCCTGATTTCGGTTATCATCGAAGTGTTTGCATTAATCGCATTCTATGGTACCGAAAGGATAAAATCTGATTTTGAGTTCATGTTAGGCCACATTTTGTCAAATATTTGGCTGCTTCTGTGGTGGTTACTCCCTTTGTTGCTTACCGGAATCTTTGCATGGGCTTTAATCACTATGCCATCTGACGAATTCGTCGACGACCCAGAATGGTTGTATGGTACAGGATGGGCTATTGTTCTCACCGCTGCCATATTTATTTTAGTAATCGGAATTTACACAGTCACCAAAATGGACGGTTACACTATCATTGATGTGAGTATTCGATTTATTGAATTTTTTCATTAGCCCAGTCAAATTAGACAAATCGGTGGAAAAAAATCCTAGAGAGTTGGATTTTTTTAATGCTTTCTTTACACTTGGGTAGACATATATCAAAAGTCCCCAAAGGTGAGGGGTGAGCTCGAGAAGGGGGAGGGGGTTAAAGGTGTCTTTTTTTGTTTTTTTGCTTATATCTCGGATATTATCACTCCTATAGGTTATCTTCTTATTAAAATTAAAGCTTACAAAATTTCCTATAAAATGGTCTTTTGCATTTTTGTTGTAGGACTAACCATAAGCGAGTTATAGGGCAGAAAAAAAAACATCATTTAAAAAAATGTGCTTTATCTGCATTTAAAACAGAATTAGTCTTGTAATTTAAAAAAAAACTCACACTAAATTGAATTTACTGGGTCCAATACTTCATTAAAGGAAGGGGGGGTCTATAAATACAAACTCATCGTTTATGTAATTTATGCAGAATTTTCTGTAGAAGTCTATTTCTGCATCAAAATTTCCTACAAAAATGGTCCTTTTCATTTTTGTCGTAGGACTAACCGTAGGCTTCAAAAGTTTGGAGTCTACATAAAATTGCATTAAAATTCCTTTGAAACACATTTAATTATTATACAGGGTTATTCATAAATATGAAGCAATATTTGAACCTCAAAAATGACCTATAAAATAATGTTAATTTAAATAATAACTCGTGTCCTATCTCTACTGATAAGAATTTTACAGCCCTCGGAATGTGGGTATGGAAATTTGATTTTTTTGTAATAACTTTGGAACTATTTGACCAAATATTATAAAATTTGGCACATTTTCCTGTGACAACATACCCTTTAAACTGGTAACCACGAAAACCGGATACATAAACTCAATTTCCGGTTCCAGCAGTTGCAGGTCACATTTTCTGTGTTTTTCCATTTTTTTGCTCTCTTAACACCAATTTTTTATTGCCCAAATCGATACAGTAATCAATTTTGATTAAAAAACGCATAACCTTTAATACTCCTAAAATGAACCGTTTCAAAGATATTTTAATTTAAACTGAGGACTGCACAACGCTGAAACCAAAAAGTAGGGATTTTGAATGGATGATATCCACGGTAACAAATGACCATGGTCTCACTAATCGCTGTCAGGTATCTGTCAACTTTGACATTGGACGATTCTTGGCGATTAATTGAACATATTTAATAAAAGAGTCTACTTCAGACTCCAAACGTAATCTACAATAAATCCAAATCGATCTCGTAGCATTTAATTTATAAAAAATTCGCAAAAATTTATCGTCAAAGTTAACAGATGCCTGGTAGGGATTTTTGTGACCATGGTCATTGGTTGCCGTGGATACCACTTATTCAAAATCCCTATTTTTTGATTTCAGCGATGTGCAGTCCTCAGTTTAAATTAAAATATCTTTGAAACGGTTCATTTTTTATTCGAAATTGATTACTCTACCTATTTGGGCAATAAAAAATTGGTGTTAAAAGAGCAAAAAAATGGAAAAACACAGAAAATGTGACCTGCAACTGCTGGTACCGGAAATTGAGTGAATGTATCCGGTTTTTGTGCTTACCAGGTTAAAGGGTATGTTGTCACAGGGAAATGTTCAAAATTTTATAATATTTGGTCAAATAGTTCCAAAGTTATTACAAAAAAATCAAATTTCCATACCCACATTCCGAGGGCTGTAAAATTCTTATCAGTAGAGATAGGACACGAGTTATTATTTAAATTAACATCATTTTATAAGTCATTTTTGAGGTTCAAATATTGCTTCATATTTATGAATAACCCTGTATAGTAAGTATTTATATGTGTAGAGCGTTCCCCCCCTAAGCCGATCTCCTGAAAGGTGACTCGGGTGTAAACATTTAAACGGAGATATAAATAAAAATTTTGGATGAAAGAGAGAATCAATCTGTAAGGGGGTTAAATGGGGTGTAAATGTTTAAACAAAGATATAAACAAAATTTTTTAGAAGTGTAAAGGGGCACTAAAATCAGATTTTTCGAAAATTAATTTTTAAGTGAATAAAACGATGTACACATTTAAAGGGATATAAAAACATTAAATTTAGAAAATATGATCCTTAGAGAGTGTAGAAGTGCACTTTTCTAATTTTAATGAAATAAAATAGAGTTTAAACGCTTAAAAACATGAAAAAACATGAAATTTTGAATTTTGAGAGTGCACAAGTGCACTGAGACGACACTTTATGAAAATCAACATTTAATATTTATCCATAAACATAGCCCATGCGAAGAACGAGACTACTATAACTGAATCCTATACATAACATAGGTAATTATCTAGCTTTATAGAGTACCTAAGCCTATGGAATGGTTTTGTGAAAGGGGCTTTTTCCCATTTTAAATCAGAAATACGCGCGGACAAAGTCGCAAGCAAATGCTAGTTCAGCATATAAAGATGACTCGGAAGACTTGATAGACCCTCGTGGCACCTTCTAATAAACTGTTGGATCCAATATATTCAATTTACTGTAAGCTTTATTTAAATCATCGATATTAAATCATCTATTTATTAATTTTGTACTGAACAAGACTGTAAATTGGTTTTCAATGTTTAAGTTGAAGACGAAGATGCGGCATATGAGGACGACTCGGAAGACTTTATAGACTCTCTAATGAAGTGTTGCACCCAATAAATTCAATTTGATTTTAGTTTTTTCAAATCACAAGATTAATTCTGTTTCAAATGTGGATAAAACACATTTTTTTAAATGATGTTTTTGTCAGCCCTATAACTAGCTTACAGTTAGTCCTACAACAAAAATACAAAGGGCCATTTTTGTAGGCTTTAATTTTGATATGCAGGCAAAAACCTTTATAGGAGTAATAGTTTCCGAGATATAAGCAAAAAAACAAAAAAAGACACCTTTAGCCCTCTCCCCCTCCTCGGCTTGTCCACCACCTTTGGGGACTTTTGATATATGTCTACCCAAGAATAAAGAAAGCGTTTAAAAAAAATTCCAACTCTCTAGGATTTATTTCCACCGATAGCCCTATTTTTGTCTAATTTGACTGGGCTACATTATGACTTAATTTTTTCGCAGAAATTCAAAGCTTCGTTCAAACCGTCGAACAAATGGGGTCCTAAAGACCCCATTTTGCGCCACACGTGGATGCAGTGGAACAGTAAGGCAGAGCAAGGCGAGAGGGACTTTACTTTGAAACGGCGAGGCACCGGGGGATACACCCGTTCTGTGAAGAGAAACGCGAAAAAAGCGAATCAAAATCGAATGAGTAATTCGAGTACGGAGTATGTGGAGCCGTACTATGTGCAAAATGAGCAAAATCCAACGCAAAATGGGGTTAAACCGTTACGGGTGACTTCGATTGTTGATTCCTTAGATCCTCCTAGTCCGACTATAACTGTGAATATGCGAAATACGTATAGTAACGGGTTTAAGACGAATATTAATCCGTTATCAAGGACTAGTACTCACGAAATTCACGATAGTTCCACTTCGGAAGGGTATGGTACTTTTAGGAAGGGGCCCTATCTTATTCCAGAGTCAAATATAACACATGTTTGTCATAGGAGGTTTAGCCAAAGCGAAGATGCCACAGAACTGTAATAATTTATCTGAAGTTTTTGTATATAGTTCTAGATATTACGTACTCATTGTTATTTATTTTATTACAGTTTTTTTAATAAAATGTTATATTGTGTTGTTGCCTTTTATTTTTCTTGATAACAACGAAAATAAAAATAACCGATAATGAAATAGTAGATTACATACCGAGGTGGGAGGCGCGTCATGACCAAGGCACACAGCGCCAGCGCCACGGTTTGCAATAAGTCGAGGTCGATGAAACAACGACCACCTATTTTTGTTCACTATTTCATTCACAAGAACAGAAAGCCAATAAAGAGTTTATCAAATTTTGAAAAACATGACATATGACAGTTCAGATTCTGAATTGGTCACTTCCTTGTCAGTTTCGCGTTGGGTAGTGGCCATTTTCCAACCACTGAACTGTCATATTAAATAAACTGATAAGAAAGTTACCATTTCCCAACCTGAACCTGTTAACCTATCAAATGAAGTTGAAATGTCATACTTTCCAACTTTTCACATGCAAGATAATTTAATTATTACTTTATAATCATAAAGTAATACGTAATTAAATTATCACAATCGTGAATAAAAAATTATTATGCGGCATTATTAGCTAAAACAGCCCATGTTCGTATTTGATCGTCCTGAGGAACGCATTTTTTACTCGAAAATAAAAAAAAAATTATAAAAAAAATTTCAAAGTATGACAAATGCACTAAAAGTCAAATTATTATTTTCTTGTAAAAATACTGCAAAAGTATTTGTAGTATAAGGATCACAGGAACACAAAGGGGTAGGTACTCGTATTCAAGATTTACAAAAATATAATTTTTGTTAAAAATCTGCAAAATAAAACGATCAAGACCACCAAGTACGCATAAGTTTTTAAGATTAAAAAACAAAATTGATAAAATGAAGACAGGTTAAAACACTTGTTTTTTGTCCTAATTAACCGCGTCCTACAATCAAATTCATAAAACTGCAGGATTTTAAAAGTAAAAGGTGTATCGGGACCACGGGAGCACTAAAAAGTATTCAAAATTGAAATTTTTGATAAAATTGTGCAGAATTTTAAAAGATCTTAATCCGATTTCTGGTACGATTAAACCTCAGATAAATTTTAAATGTTCCATAATTGTTAAGGTCTGATTGGTGTTGTCACGATTTAACTGAGGTTCAATTTATCACTTCGTAAAATTAATATACATATTTCCATAAACAGGGTCAAAGAGGTTTTCGAAATTAAAAAAAAAAATAATAAATTGTAGAACTCACAGTAAGGGTGGTTTGCACCGTTCAAGATTAAATATTAAACGTCGATTAAAGCATGCTAATGACATTTGTGTTCACTGTTAAAAAAAATTTCTGATTAGTGAACATTTAAATTTTTTAATCTTGTAATTTTTTTATTTTTTATTTTAAAGTGTAATAATTTTCAATGGCTGATGATGGCGCAAGGGTGCCGAAACATGTCCCAACTTGACTAAATAAAATTTATGGATTTGTGGAGTTGACTTTAATATTACTTACTGTTTAAAAAAAATTAATTAATTGCTAAACCTCTACAAAAATATTATCGAGAGTATCAGGATAATGAAAAAGCAAAGAAATATCAAGATCATATATATGAATGCAAAAGGTATAATTTAGTAATTATTAAAATTAATTAATTCATTATTAAATTATAATTAACAAAATTTAAAAAATCTACAGGATTGTAAAATTTATCTGGAAGCATCAGCATTACAAAAAGAGAAAATGTATTAATTTTTTTTGAAAATATTTGGAGATTTAAAAGTATCAGGATCACCGAAACGAAGAGGTTTTCGAAATTTAAAATAAAATAATCGTTTAAAACATGCACACGTATCGAAGAGGTACTCAAGATTAATATTTTTTTGTTAACATTCTGCAAAAGTATCAGGAGAATCAGGATCACACATTACAAGAAACAAAAGCGATATTAAAAATTAAAATGCTGGTGGAAAAACATACTAATAGGTGAGATTATGTCATTATACATCTTTAATCCTTTATATCACGACGCTTATTCATCATTTCGTCATCATTTACAAATGTACTTCTTTGAAAGAATTTCTTAATGTTGGATGCGCAATATTTTCAATGTCTGGCTTTCACTACTTTTTTTACAATCTCGTCCTTCATTTTCCTCGATCAAAACACTGCGAAACTTAAGAAACAATTTTTTTACCAATTTATTGGTAGATATTTATACTTTTATTTTAGGGTTGACACACCATCCCTTGTCCTTCGTATAAATACAAAAATAATTCATCAATATTCATTAAAAAATCTAGTACATACTTTGTTATTACGCAATTACAATAAAAGTTTCCTTAATGACCTGTCACTCTCATTGTTACCAATTCATTAGCATAATTATGCATAAAAGCTGCTTTAAGCAAGTGTAAACAGGTTCATATTTTATTTATTTTTTTTTTAAATTTTCTATTATCATTAACAATATATTTTTATATTTCAAATATGTGGAATTGGTATAATATTGGAATAATGTGGAATATAGAAGAGGTAGTTTTGCTTTAATTTTCTTAGCTGAGTATGTTAGAATTTTATTTATAAGGATAATTTGTGTGATGTTATTTTTGGGGGCAAATTTAAGTTCTTTTACTTTTTTTGTTAAGTTAGTTTTTATTTCTTTTTTTTGAATTTGGGTTCGTGGYACTTTACCTCGCTTTCGTTATGATAAGTTGATGTATTTAGCTTGAAAGAGCTTTCTTCCTAGTTCTTTAAATTACTTAATTTATTTTTTTTGTTTTAAGACGCTTATTTTTGTCTTTTTAATTTAGTTAATAAAATTTAGTAAAAACTAATAGAAAATTCTATTTCTTTCATATATTTTCAAAATATATACTTATTCAAGTTCATTAGTTAGTTTTTATAGAGTATCTTGTCTCATAGTTTATATGTTAATGGATTTATAATGAAATATAGGAAATAGGAAACTGTAAGAATTTGGCCTGTAATGATATAAGGGTCTTCAACGGGTCGTGCCCCGATTCAAGTTAATAATAAAATTAAAGTTACTATTATTCAGAATAAGGTTTTGTTGAATGGGTAGAATTCCAATTGGTATACAAAACTCTTGCATCCTGTATATCAAGTACCGGGTCCTCTTGTTGAAAAACTTACGATATTACGTAGGAAAACTGAAAAACATTTTTTTGTAAGGACTTTATTTCACATCAATTTTATTAAACAAGATACAATATCAAAATAAATAAAATGAGTCAAAATTGTGTTCCAAATGGGCGTGGATCGGCAGAATGTCCACTACAATATGGAACAAACTTTACAAGTAATAAAAAATGGAACGTCATAATAAAGGAACTTAATCGTACAACCCATAATATCATACACTTTGCAAAACAATCATTTCTAGCATTATACCTATTTTTAAGTACATACCAATTTAAAACGTGTGGGCGTTTCTACACACGCCACACCCCAAAGCAAACTCCTCTCCGGTTGGTGGATGCTTAACATGAAGTGGACACTCATCTCCTTCCAACTGTTTGGCTTTTGGACCTAAAACATCTAAATAACACTAAAATTCTCCCAAAATCTCCAAAACAAACCGGCGGGACAACTCGGTAGTTCGCTTTTCGACAAATTCGTGACTCTCTGAAAATCATCGTGACATGGATTACAAAAATGCGTTGTTCCGAAACAGAAAAACACCGCAACGGAACAACAGTAGCGACACTTGTATTCGAGAAAATCGGTGCCGTGTTTGGGGCACATCTGGGCTCTGGCTACGTCCGAACAGCCTCCACAGACCAACTCGGTGGGGTCGTAATTCTCCCCCACTTCGGCGTCACACCGGGCTTCTCCCCCGTAATACGCCTGCAAAAAAATTAAATGAATTTATATAATTGGCCTAGGAGGGAAAAACCGACTTTATTGCACTTGTAGCAAACGTAATAAGCATATCTGTCCATGGCGTAGGAGGCTGGATCGTTGTAAAACCTCGCCCCGGGTGTGGCAATAGCCTCGACCGTGTGCAGCCCTTCGTATTCTAACCTCATTAAAGCCTTCCTTCTCACATCCTTATACAAATCCCGAATCGGGCTTAACAGCTCGTCCAAAGTCGGATGAACAATTTCCTCCTTACAAATCGGACAAAGCGAGAACGAGAACGTGATCCGAGGCCCCGCCCATCGCTTCATAAGCACCGCCTTACAACAGTGCAGATGGAACACGTGACCGCATTTCAGCTAAAACCGACCAATCAAAAACCATTTTAGTCCGGTCAAAATAGACATTTCAAATAACTAAAGTTCCGACAGAGCTAAATTTTGATGGAGATCTTGGGTACACCATTGGGGGAATAAAGTGTCAAAAGTCCCCGTCGATCCCATGTGTGTTAAAAAAGTTATTCGGGGTCAAAAGTCAAAATTTGACGTTTTTTTAGATTTTTTTCGAAAACGGTAAGTTTTATCAAAAAATTAGTCCAGACAAAAATTATAGATCTTGAAATTCTCTACAAAAATGATCCTTATACTTTTTTTCTAAGAATCACCATTCCTGAGATATCGCGATTCTAAAAGTTGAAGGAGTCACATTCTACATGATATGCACAGAGTGCGCCAGAACTCGCGTCCCAAAGAAAAATGCTATGTAGGGTAAGTAACCAGGAACAACGAAAAAATTTAAAAAAATTCTATCTATAAAAATTTCGAAGTTATGAGAGTTTAAATTTTGCACTTTGACTATTTATTTCTGTAGGATAAATAATTTTCCAAGTTTTTTTGCTACAGGCTATTAGAAGAGAAAACAAGGAAGCTGTATTCTAAATTATAACTCTGTTTAATGTTATTTGTGGCTTTTGTTGTCAAAAGTTTTGTACCTTCACTAAATAATTGTAAAAAAACATATACAAAATCAACAGTAGCCTTAAATAGTTATAAAAAATGTCAAATGTCAAAAAATAAATGTCAAAATTTATTGACATATAGAATTTTTTAAACATTTTTTGTTCCTGGTATCTTATCTTCTACTCAATTAAATTTATAAAAATCTCGATTCCATTAGAATTAAAAGAATTTATTTGGTAATACATACAGATTGTTTAAAAAATCGCGCACTTTCTTAAAAGGGAGTAATTGGGTAGTCCCCAGAGTACTGAAAAAATGTTTAAAAAATTCCATCTGTCTAAAAATTTTTGACATTTATTCTTTGATATTTGACATTTTTTTATGTCTATTTAATAATACTGATGACTTTGTGTATGTTTTTTCATAATTATTTAGTAAAGGTACAAAAATTTTGTCAATAAAAGCCACAAATAACATTAAACAGAGTTACAATTTAAGATACAGCTTCCTTGTTTCCGCTTCTAATAGCCTGTAGTAAAAAACTTGGAAAATTATTTTTCCAACAGAAATAAATAGAGACAAAGTGCAAAATTTAAACTCTCATAACTTTGAAATTTTTATAGATAGAATTGTTTTTTAATTTTTTATATGTTCCTGGTACCCTACCCTACATGGTATTTATCTTTGGGGAGCGAGTTGTGGCGCACTCTGTATGTGCATATCATGTAGAATGTGACTTTTTCAACTTTTAGAATCACGATATCTCAGGAATGGTGATTCTTAGAAAAAAAGTATAAGGACCATTTTGGTAGATAATTTTAAGATCTATAATTTTTGTCTGGGCTACTTTTTTGATAAAACTTGCCGTTCTCGAAAAAATCTAATAAACGTAAAATTTTGACCTTTGACCCCGAATAACTTTTTTAGCATACATGGGATCGATGGGGACTTTTGACACTTTATTTCTAATGGTGTACCCAAAGTCTCTACCAAAATTTAGCTCTGTCGGAATTTTCGTTATTTGACCACTATTTTTATGACTAATTTGACCGGACTATTTGTTTCAACATTGTCACTCACTTGTATGGCAGGGGCGCACGACAACGCCTCCGTGAAGCAAATCATGCACATATCGTCGGCGTCTTGCCTCAAATTCGGCTCATTGGAGCACCCGTGAAGACAGGGTAGACATTTGGTCTCGCCGAGAATTCCGCCGCACATATGGCCGCAATTTAGGAGTTTGGGACATGCGGTGCGTCCGTATTCTTGACACTCGTGGTCGGCGCAAACGTTGCCGATGGCCAGAAGGCCGGAACTTCCGGTCGCGCCACAGAAACGACAAACTCCACTCATTCCGGCGCCTCGGGTTCGGGCCCCGCCGTCGCGATACTCGATCAGGGCTTTGAGAGTCCGAGCGTCGGCCAACGCCAACAACCAGAAGAGTTTCGTGCGGCCGCAGCCTTCGTGCAGCTCGACTTTGATCGCTTCTTCCTCTTCTTTACACACCTATGGAGGAAAAGATGAAATACGAGTTAACTAAACTGCTTGCTTCCAGGTTCAAAATTGCAAAAGTACATAAATTTAACGTACTTTTTTGGTGATAAATACAGGGTGTTCCGTCTAAACCATACATTAGAAGTATTGAGAGTTTTAATAATCGTATTTATTTGAAAATTGGTACATAGCCATAATCCATTAAGGCCTCCTAAATGAAAATATTTTCAAGACGGCTTATACCGGAAGTCGGTCTCAACTTTCTTTTTTTTAAATAGAAAGGTATATTATTTACTGCGTTTTTGGATTAATCGGGTTATTTTAAGGGAGTTTTATCAGCTTTCCCTACACCTAAATTTAGCCGTTTTTGAAATATTTGGAGTTTTTCAAAAATTTTTGGAGCACCTTCCACTTTAAAAATCGGTAACTCTGCCATTTTGAAAAATTTTGGATTCGTTTTTTTGGCGCTTGAAAGAGAAAGCTTAGGTCTTTCTTCTGGTGTTTTCAAATTTTAAAAAGAAAATTAACAACCCTAAAATTTTAAGGTTACTTTTGTAATAATTCAAATACCCATAACTCAATTTTTCTAAATAAAATACCCCAATTTTTATTTTACTAAATGGAAGAGAATTCAATTCTGCATCGATCTGTATTAACATTCTATACCTAAATTTAATAATTTTAAAGTTATGGTGACTTATAAGCGGAAGTGCCGCCATCTTGAAAATATTCTCATTTAAGAGGACCTAATGGATTATGGCTACGTACCAATTTTCAAATAAATACGATTATTCGAACTCTTAATACTTCTAATGTGGGGTTCAGACGGAACAGCCTGTATAGCTGTATAGTTGGAAATTTTTAAGTTTTCTGGTAATAAATTTTCATTTATGTACACTATAACAGAAAATTCTTTAAATAATAGCGCATCTAATTCTGCTATCTTAATTTGAAATTTTGATTCAGGTTGCAGTTTTTCCTTTAAATCCAGTTGGAAAAAGCCCTTTTTCCCTTCTCTGGCAAGTCGGCTATGTAACAAACTTAGCATAGTTGCTGTAGATATGTACTGAAAAATGTATTACGTATCCACGGTAATATTAATATAAACAACAATGCTTTAGTAACAGAGTATGATATTTAAGTGACGGGTTTAAAAATCTGTTAAAATGTTTTATTGTTTCATTTTTTATGTTCCATTGTTCAAGTTCAATTAAGTATTTCTGAAGAAAATATAAATTTAATATTTCAATATAAAGCAATAGTATATTATGTTAATAGGAGTAATAGTGATAGTTTATGTGGCGAAGCTACATGCCAAACGTAGTGAGGCAAGTAATTCAGCTGAGCCACATAAACTCACTTTTTCTCCGAATAACATATACTATTTTATCCGCAAACGTACTCAGATCGAGAGTAAAAAGCAACATTAAAATTAGCAAGTAAATGAACAAATAATCAATATAATATAATAATTAAACAAACATCATGCTGCGTCAGTATTGGAATTTGTGTTGAGATTCTCGAAAGTGTTTATTAATCTAACTAGTGCATGACTGGTGCAGTTAGTAGTGCAAAATGTAGAATGCTGATGATCTACATTGTACATCTCAAGAAATTGTTGAAGTAGTGAAAGAGAAAAGAGACAACATTGGGAAATGTCATGGTAAAAGTAAAAACGCAAAAACAGAATTTTTACTCCATGACTGAAAAGTAAAACTATTACTTGTGAATTTTAGATATAAAAGTGGTCATTTTTGTTATAAAGGTGTTTTAAACCTGTTGAAAGCAATACTAAAACAAAACATTTATTTAAGGCTTACTAAATAATTATTAATGACGATTTTTGTTATTAACAAAAATTAAAGAGTATTATTATTATTGGTTATTGTTTTATGGCAATTATGCAATTACATATTAAGCAAAATTTTTTTCTAATTAATAATAATCTAAAGACCATAAGTGTTAAATCATTTGTTTTTTCCATCCACAATGAGCCGGTGATACAAGAAACGGATTGAAATGTACTGAAGTATGTAACCATGACAAAACGACACTTTAGTAACAATATGACATTTAGACCAGTAGTGGATATCAATTTTTAATAAAATGTTTATTTGTTAAAATAAAATACGATAAAATATGTATAAGAAAAAATATTTTTAATTTCAACAAGAAATTGGAAAAGAAATTGGCGAAATTGTTTATTGTTTTTCGAGGACACTCACGCAAGAGCACTTTTTAATTAACAAAAAACGTTAAAAATAAACAAAATTTTGACTTGTCTGTTTATATTTTTCTGGATTCGATCCTTGAAAATAACCCTTTTAATCCTCGACGAATGACGAACGTACTGAAATGCTGAAAAAGGCAAGTATCTTGGTAATAAATGACGTCATAGTAACAATATGACATTTAAACCAGTGGAGAATATCATTTTTTGATAAAATATGTCTTTATTTGGTATGAAAAGTTAACGAAGATCTTTTATAATATTTGTAATTGTTTAAATTGTTCTTTAATTATTTGCAATATGTATTTGAGAGTAAAAATAAAACAAAGGTTTTCTTTTAAATTTGTTGAAATCGTAATCCACAGTCATGCAAAACAAAATTGAACATTTTCATGTTTTCTGTAATTAAAAGCGCGATTTTGTGTCTGAAAGCAAGCGTTGCTAGGGTAAGACCACCTGCCAGCTACAATAAAAAAGTAAACAATAATTACTTGTCTTTGGTGATTTCGTGTTTTGCGATGAAGGTGCAAAAACCTGTCACAATCGGCGCAAAGATTTCCGCAAGTGTTGCACTGAATCACAGCGTTGGTTTCGCCATCATCGTGGTTCGTACACGTGGGTCTAGGTGGCGCCGGTTGTCCATCGGCGTTACTCCACTGCCCTGATGACAATCGATCCACATGATCCTTGTCTAGGACACAGAGCGAAGCAAGAGCTAACCACAAAGTAGGAGTCCTGAGACACATCGTCGGGACTCTTTGCTCCTCGCTCAACTGAGTCAAAGCTAAAATATTCTCAGCAATAGCCCCTTTGGTCACATTGGCCCACATCTCGGATAATTTCCCTGCGGCCATATCTTTGATTAAGTGGACGATGACTTCAGCTAGTTTCCGATTGACATAGCCTCGTAGCCACCAACGCTTCCCCAGATTGTCTTTAGGGTAAATGGAAGTGGCTAAAGTGACAGTATTTATTTCTTTAGGGGCTCCACCGGCCCCATTTTTGCTCTTGACTTTCACTTGAACCGTCAATGCTTTGGCTATAACGCTCAAAAAGACGTCCAAAATTCCCGGTTTATGCTTATCGAAGGAGCCTCGATAAGTCGCAGAGACTATACTAAAGTCTTTCGGTGGTAAATTGGTGATTCCCATGACTTTAGCGAACGAATCTGGAGTGATTTCGGGCAAAATTCGACGTAAAAGTGAAGTAACCTGTAATTGCATGTTACAAACGAATGACAAATGTTTCAAGCGCCACCTGTCGCTGAACTCGAGCACTCCCGGTATGGAGAAGACTAAGTAAATCCCCGAGAAGGCCTCCTTGATGCGACAAATAAGCCCGACCAACTGAACTCCCAGATAAAGCCAAAACCATCGATAACATCTCAAAACAATAAGTATCTGAATTTTTAGTAACATCTTGACTGTTTGACACCCCGTTACTTGAACAAAGAGACACTTCCCATTCTTCTCGCACACGTTCTGTCTCTTTCCGTATCGCTTGAACGATATGAACAATCACCTAATTGATTAAAAGATAATTAAAGTAGTTATAGAAAAAATAAAGTATGTGACATACTTGTTTTTGCAAATGTGTCAATTTACTTCGACTGAATAAAATCCCAACCATGTGTTCCCTCAAATCGTTACTTTCCTCCAACGGTTCGAGACTCTCACTTGCCGACATCGAACCACTATCATTCAAATTTTGACCTTCTTCGCCTTGAAGTAGTTTTCCAAAAACTTGCGATGTGATCAATCGAAATACTCGGAGTGTTTCAGCTTCGCAATTTCGTTGCTGAATGGTGGCAGCATTGTATTGTTTGCCCACTTTCAAAGACTCACCTTCGATTTTACCCAAGACCCGGATTTGTCTCACACGGACTGAATTATCCGGGCCTTTAAGCTCTAAACGAATCACACTATCGATCGATTCTTAAAAGAAAACAAACATTAGCTTGATGTGTTTTATTTTAGTTTGTGGTTACCAGTGAGAGGGCAGTTGACCCAACCGCCTAGAAGTCTAGTCTCGACTTCGACAGTCCGTAATTTAATCATTTCGTCGGTGTTTGGGCCCGAATAAAACGTAATACTTGAAACCTTGTTCTGGAAAAACTTTTACTGTGAAAAGAATTAATTGTGGAAAAATACAAACCCCCAAATCGCGACAATTGTCAATATGAACGCAAATCAAAGTGGGATGGTGGTTTTGAGCACACACAATTGTCAAACTTTTCGTTTTATTTCTATCCTCATCTCCTGACTCCCAAAACGTCTCAGTCGAACCATCAGTCAAACTCCCAATCATCGCTTGTCTACTCGAAGCTTTAATCTCGATCGACGAGGTCAAATCTTTGAGACATTCGACACTACAGTTGGCTTGATTGAGAACACTTTGGTGACTTTCGTGCATTGAAATCGTACAATCTTCCATTTCTTCACTCCGGGACAAAATTTTACTTATATTGCTAAAAACCTAACCACGATTTATGAAATTGTAGTTTAAAAAATTGTTAGTTTACTTGAGATCGGTGTAGGAATGAATGATCACTAGGGGCAAATCTCAAGCCCCAACACCGGACCGCCATTTGTTGCAGGGATGAACCCATGGGTAAAAGTACCATAAGGTCGGCGATGGTCTGGAGGAGGGCATGGAATGTGCTAGGAAGTGGGTGAACGGCATCGCCCGCAATTGTGATATCGGAAAGTGGATGTTCGCACACGTTCAAGTCCTAGAAAAGATTTTTTATTCAAAAATTCTTACAATTTTATAGGAGCAGGTTTCTATGTAACCATTTAACACCCTTTTTATGTACAATCAGCGTAGAAAAGATTGTCCTCCTAATAATCCGCTCGGACTCTTAGAAGTTGAACCCATAAACCACAACAATAAATAAATCTTTTTTATTGTAAACGTCATTTCATATTTAACAGTATATTCAGTTTGAAGTAAAGCTCAGTTACCGATTTTACTTTCAGTTGAGTAAATAAAAAAATATTTTCAAAAATTCACAACTCTATACCGCAACTAAATATTAATTAAAAAATAATTAGTTATTTATTTACTAAGATAACAAGAAAATGCTGTTTAGATGGCATAATTTAATAAACAATATTATTATTTAATTTTTTGATAGCTTAATTCTTTTTATTCTTCGAAACTGTCAAAATTTACGGTTTTTCTCCCGTGTAAGGAAGTTTTGACAACTGTTTGGCATTTCTCAATACAAAACGTCAAATTATTTTTTTTTAACAGATTTAAAGCAAGTTTAAGCCTTGTTGACTCTAATTCGAAGAATAAAATGTTGTATTCCACTCGTTTGAGTGTAAATCGAACGCTTTATTCCACCTCGTGGATGGTAAACCACTCGTTACACTCGTGGTTTAAAAATCCACTCG